TCGTGACTATTAAAATCTAATCAGTGTCAGGTGTGAGACAATTACCCTCTGAAGACAATGTATGAAGGGTTGCACAATATCATGGATCGATCGAAGTTAGACATGAACACCGTTTGATGCCGGTTCAGTGGTCTAGAGGTTAAGCGTTCACGCGTGAGACCCAAGGTCCTGGGTTCCAGACCCGCGTGCGGGAATCCCACACTAGGACGAAACGGCCGCCCAGTGATCTCAGATTTTCAATTTCGGTCTAGTTTAAATTGACTCGTCAATTCAACTGTGAAAATACGACAATCTCCATAAATCCCCAAAATTGATAAAAATATATCTACAAAAGAAATACTCGTGAAAAATATGAAATGCATTCGACAGCCCGATATTTCCAACTAACATTCATTATAATGCTAAACATCTACCATTGTCGCTTATTTACACAAGATGTAGAGAAAATAATTGCTTGTTGTTTATTTTATCTATCGTTTGTTCAGTCTACTTATTTGAATAGTTGTTGATATTTACAAAAGATAACCGTTTTAATTTATGAATTGGTGAACGTGTGAGAACGGATTAAATATTACAGGTTTAATAATTGAGTTTTTGTTAAAAATTGTAAATACTGATAGTTCCATAGCGAATAAACTAATTGTTTTATAGTTTGTCTTACACTTAAAACATATTTTGAAAAATAGCAAGTAGATGAGATTTTGTAGTTGGCAGTTAACCATGATCTTGACCCTTTCCATTTAGACGTATTTGTAACCTTGAAAATCCTGATATCAACTCAAGAATTCAAACTTGTTTCACAGTTTCACACCTTGTCATGTTGCAAATGAGCTATTCGGAAGTTCGAATAGTGGTATGAACTAAACAAACCGTATTGGTTAGTACTCGGTGATCAATAGATTCGAATGAAAACAGTTCCCAAATTTTCTATATTTTACTTCGAATAATTAATCATTGCCTACTACTGTATACATTAAACTTAGTCGAACGTGAAAGTTTAATTGCAGCGCAGTCTGATTATAAATACATTTAGCGAAGGATACAAAGTATTACCTGACCGTAGTAGTACATTTTTAGTCTAAAGTGACTTGTTAAAAAATATTTTAACCACATCCATATTTCAAGGGGCTTTTGCGGATGCTATAGTAATTTCAATAGTTAAGATCATGAGTCAATTGAAGCCATATCACCATGGAAAACCTGAAAGCACTGGGTGCGCATGCATGACTCCGCCTCACGAGATTCGAACACAGAACCTATCGGTCTCACGCGCGGACGCTTAACCTCCAGACAACTGAGCTGGTCTGCATCCAACGGTATTAATGTCTAACTTCAACTAATCCACGAAATTGAGCGACATATCCACCGTTGTCATCAGTGAGTTACTATCTCACAACAAACTCGGTTGAGCTCCACTGGTCACTGCTTCTCACTAGAACTCCAGGATACACCTCTTGAAGTCAGTGACTAGTGAGTATATGTTGATTAGTATCAGATGGGGTTTTGTAGATATTATAGTAATTTCAATAGTTGAAATCATGAGTCGATTGAAGCTAGACCACTATGAAAATCCTGGAAACGTTGGACGACCGTTTCGTCTTACAGTGGGACTCCTCAGTAGTGCGCATCCACATTCATATTTGCCCATTTTTTATCATAATTTCACAATTTTTTGTTTCAAAAATTAATTCGTCTATTGAATAAGACTATCCTATACTTCCAAATATGTGAGACACGGTGAATGACATCTCAGTTCGAATCTTATTAATCAATTAAATAATTAATGAGTCATTGACAATCACGCGACTGTATTAACATAAACTCAAAATTATATAAACTTATGCACTTCAAACGTATGTTCTATATCCTGTGCATCACTGGTAATGTTGTTTGCCAAATTACATAACTGTGAACAACAAACGATTTGAATATATTATTTCTTAAAAATGGTGGGAGTCTTTTGTATACCTATATTCACAATATATTATTTGTACTTAATTGACATTATAGGAAACTTTTTATAGTCCTCATGAATATTTTAGCACTTTAAAAAGGTATATTCTACGAGGCAACTAGTTAAATAAATGGTTTCTGGAGTAACTTTTTTAAAATTGAACTTAATAAAGTAGATGTTGGTTTCTCTGTCTTCATTAAGTTGGTTGTATAGTGTAGTTTAACTTATGCAATGTCCTAAAAACATTTTATTGTCACTTGTATGAGATTATTTTATTACTTAATAACATACAGTAGTCAATATTGTAACCTATTCTTTCTAATTATTGTTAGGTTGTATGTACACTCGTAATGTTAATTGATAACTATGTTTTCAGTTACTTCGCTGTACTCTTGTCACTAATTCTTTTCGGAGAATCTTCGTTTCCTATAATGTTCTCTTTCAGACTGAATTTCAATAGTTTATGGATACTTAGCTATAGAATATATTTCATTCCATAAATGATTCAATCACTTAGATTTTATTACATTCATGATGTTTATAATATTTCGTTAACTCTGGTTAATAATTTGTCTCTGTGATTTGTAACTTTTTTTATTTCAAAACTTCTGGTATAGCCATCATAAACAATAGAAATCTATTGGAAAAAATAATATTATCATCTTGTCTGAGTTCACAAGATGATCGATAAAGTATATATCTTTGCATATATTCCGGCTACTTATCGTATTATGACAACGGAGAAACATGATGTTCAATATGAATAGTGTTAGGAATGTATATATTTGATACATTTGGTTTATCAGATGGGCAGTATATGTGTATAAATGAATAAAACGTGGACTTGGACTATTACTCATCAAAAGCTGCTTACCTGAGTATGCATAATGAATAAACAAAGAGTACTATATGCAAACGAACATCTGCATGTATACATATACAGAAAATGTATGTGGATAAGAAGTAACAGCTAATTTTATGTGGATGTATACAGTATAAACAATAAAATTCAGATTACATATGCCAAGGTCAAACAAATTCACACAATGGTTCGTGTTGATCTGTCATATAACTTCACGATGTGATTATAAATTTGATTGTGTTTATTATATCCCAAGTGTACATGAGTTCTTTATTATATCAACATTACTTTTAGATAAAAGCTGACTTTTCAAGATAACAAGTAAAATGAGTAATAAAAAATACAATCAAATGTTGATGAACTTATTTTATTTAAAAACTAACAGTGAATTGATGATATTCTGCAATTTATACAAAAGAATTAATCGTCTTTGAATTAATCCTTTTCCACTTTTGTAAGTTCCTCAAAATATATATCTCTGGCTTGTCATTATGTAAATCAGATTGGTTGGATTATTATATTGTAAAATAATTAATATAGATACTAGAACCTGTCATAAAACAAGTCTTGCTATATATTCACTTTGTATATTATTTTATAAATTTCTTGGATAATTTGAGTTCTTTCAATAGTTCATGTTTATTCCTTATAAGAGATCGTTTTGATGGTGGATACAAATGAATAAAAATATCCAGACAAACTACTTATTAAATCCGTTTTTAACGTACAATTTAATTTCAACGCAGAATTTATTTTATTTTGGCAGTTACAGTATGTCAGAAAAGATCAAGTCATAACTTACTAGTATAGTGTGTGACAGAACTTGAATGGATCATAGTGACAGCCAGACAGGACATAAAGAAAACACATAACTTTACAAATTTATGAGTTTCAGGAATGTCATGATCAAAATGAAACTTATTAATTCAAAAGTTAATCAGATCATCATATAAACTGTACAACCGTATATAATTTAATTGCTAGTGGATAGTGTCAATTTACCAAAGCTATGAAAAAGATAATCAAACTGAAAGTTCAAAATATCCTTCATTTTATTGTATAGTCCGATTCATGCTATACTTAGTAAACTTACCATAATTAATACTTAATTATTGATCTTTTTGTTTCTTGATATTTCATGCTTCAGAACCACTTTATGTCACCAAGAACAATTAAGTAATCATCTTTTCCAACTAGACAACTTTATCCTTCACATTTAAGCTGTATATGTGGTAATACAGAAAGAAATGTTTTACCATCTCTTGTTATAGGCTAACTGAATTTTATTTGTTTTGTAGTTATTTAGGCATATATTCATTTATCCTTGCGTACAAGTCAAGATTGTTCCCACCTGTATGTGTATTAATATATAAATGTAAACTGATGATATGCAATCAGTTACATGCTCCTTACGTTTCTGATAAACTTCTCGTTACATTATCATCATTTACCAAAGGAAATAACTGGTTTAAGTTCCTATGTTTACTTGTTATCCACATTTGTTTATTCACTAATATTCTAAATAGCCTGTGACAAAAGTATTGTGTAAATATAATCCTCACAGGATGCATATATACTGATTTCAGTCATAAATATCAACAGTACTATTATTTAAACGCTTAGCAATAATAATATAAACACCATGCACATTGAAAAAGTTTGTGAATATCTGAACTCAGTAGGTCTAAAAATAACACATTCATGTTTGAAGTAAAAGGATCCTGTTCAGAGTTCTGATATAAACATAAATATTGGGATACAAGTATATTCATTTCATTAGCCCTAAATTGTAGGAAACACGTTTCCGAAATTCCGTCAACCCACTTTTACAGTTGACATTTACCTTACTTTTATTTAATCATTTTATTCACATAGACAATTTTTTTACATATTTCTTCATTCGATTTATTTTATATTATTTATCTACCTACATGATATATATGCAGATTGTTCAACTCAATTTAAACATTATATCTTTCCTATTCTTTCTAATAATCATTTATCAGTAGAATGGCTTAAGTTTGAATTCCGGATTAGATATCATAAAATTTGCTATGCAACACACATATCAGGTATAAAATTAAGTTATTACTGTCTTCCTTAAAATACTCAATATATATAAAAGAAAATATAATTAAAACATTGTCAAATGTTGATTTTTAAACATTGTTTACAAGGACTTACATGTATGAATATCATTTCCGCAACCACATAATCCATCATTCCAATCACGATATATTATTGATCCTGGTTGATCACTTATAACCGGTATATTCTTATCCATTAATTAGATTAACACCTTTTACTTAGGCAAAAGAAGTTTGTGATATGATTCTTTAAGAAAATAATTTTGTAATTATAGTAATAGCAATAATAATAATAATGAGATGTTTATGCTGACAAACATAATTTTATCCTAGAAAAATTGAGGTCAATTTACCAAGTTTAAAATAGTTATTGACTTGATTAATAACACACATACGTAAGTTTAAATGATAAATCACTTAAGAGTAATAGAGTAATTAAATCTCTTTGAATAAAGTCCTTAGTTTCCTTTATTTCAATTAAATAATAAACAAAATGTTGTCCTTAATTTTATTCATATAACAAAGGATCAATAAAGAAATATTTGTTCAGTTTTTCAATTACAAAATTACAAAATCATCAGATGTTTTGGTATACATCTTTTGCCATTTTGTTACGTTTATATGATATCAAAACATAAATTTACTTATCAAATATTTGTCATATCAAATATAGTGTTATATATGTCTAATGATTGACCCTATTGAGAATGATGAATGACTAGAGAGTAAAGATTTTACAAAGATATAGAGTAACTTAAAGATGAATATATTTTCACGTGAATAAGAAAAAACGATTAAAAATAAACTATTAAAATTACTATAATATCTACAAAACCCCATCTGATACTAATCAACATATACTCACTAGTCACTGACTTCAAGAGGTGTATCCTGGAGTTCTAGTGAGAAGCAGTGACCAGTGGAGCTCAACCGAGTTTGTTGTGAGATAGTAACTCACTGATGACAACGGTGGATATGTCGCTCAATTTCGTGGATTAGTTGAAGTTAGACATTAATACCGTTGGATGCAGACCAGCTCAGTTGTCTGGAGGTTAAGCGTCCACGCGTGAGACCGATAGGTTCTGTGTTTGAATCTCATGAGGCGGGATCGTAGATGTTATTGAAATATATATGTCGCCTATCCTCGTATATAATCATCGACTTAAGTCGCGTTAGTTAATAACGGAATTAAATAAGTCAAATAACGAGAATGAACTCTTGAATACATATATTTTGTATATGAAGCGAATGGAGCGGAGTGAAGCGAAACGACGTGCAGTGGAAATGGCGGGTAAGCCAACTCCATCAATATTTATAGTTACACAAAAATATGCTACAGACATGTGATGAATAGGATAAGAAATGTACACACACCTACGCGCTCATATAAAAACAGTGAAGATTGATTAGCGAATAATTAACAAGGTCAGAACGTGACTCAAGTAGAATGAATAGATTGGGCTGTCTGAAAGCTAGAATAAGGCATCTGGGCTTAACATAGTAACCGACACTACAATATAACGAAAAGATACCTTAAAAAATAGCCCGAATAGCTGTTTCTTGAAATAAAAAATAACTGAAGTATTATTCATTTACAACGTGCTCCATGAACTTCACACACTGGATAGGCACTCGATAGAGTACTTTATAGGATAAGTATACTTGTAAGGTCAGCGAACTATCAATGAGCTGTTTAAAAGCTGAATAATAGTACAAGGGTGCTATTCAACATTTTTTTCAAGTAAAGACGGTTAATAATTACTCTCAAATAGAACAAATATATGCAAATCACAGAATTTACTAATAATGTTTGTAACGGAAAGATAACAATGAAAATCCCTCTTCAGCCTGTTTTGTTGGACAGTGCAGCGGTAAATAATTCCCCAAAATCAAATAGCTCTGTAAGTTTTCGACATTGGATGCTGACCACAGTTTTAGTGGACTCATCTAGCTGAAGGCGCTCGGTCAAGCATCCTCACCAGATCACGTGTGGGAACGCCGTGCTCAACATCTGCCGCAATCGCTATCCAGCTTAGTGTAAACTATCCTCGATATATTGATAGCTTATCAAATATATCTGCGATCTCCTCACTTCTGTCTTTTGATTTTACTTGGTGGGTGCGCTTCGTATTAGAAGGTGTTACTGGTTAAAGCGTTGTCAAACTCCGAATACCTGTGGCATCTTCAACAGTATTTTAGTTTATTTGTTTCTTTTCCCTGTCATATATTTCAACCTTTGTTCAGATCTCGTTTGAGCTCTTATTATGTGATTTTGATTAAAAACTTATCTTTTTGTTACCTATTTTATTATCGCATGTTGCCGGACTATTGACAGTGAGGTCATGTTTGACTAAGCTCAAGATCACGGCGTGATTCAGTGTGACTGTTAGCATTTTGACTGTCTGCTTGGGAGGATTTCTGGATAGATATTTGATCCCGTTTGTTGGGAATATATTTGTTGACTCTCAGGTATCAAATCCTTTGGTATTGACTGTTTCTTTTATTGTTTAGCGCACTACTTTGCGTTAGAGAAAGTTCTGACTGTATAGCACAGGCTGTACCGTTTTAGGTATTTTGTATTTTCGATATAATTTGTTCTGTTCTTAAATTAGAACCGTATAAATTGAGCACAGAGTTTGTGTTTTGATATAATTTAATATGAGTGTCTCAAAAACGCATGGTGAGCTATACAGAAGATCGTAGTCTGACCTTTTCGAACACGGTTTGGTTCGTCAGTCCTGCGTTCAGCCCGAATACTGGTAGTTTGGTCGTTACAATGTTTGTTTGTAGTTAAATTTACGAAATTAAGGTTTTTCATTGTCACACAAGATATCCTCAATAAATTAAGTTGAAATTCATCTAGAACAACACAAAACATAGAACAAATCGCGCTCGAACACTTGCTGTCTAATTCTGAAACGAATATTTTACTACATGAAAAAACCCTGCTTCATTGTTACGAAATCTATTAAATAAAATACTTTTCACAAACATGATGATGCTATCCAAAAAGTCATTTACTGGTGTAATTAAAAATTTTTAGATTTTCGACTTCTTCACGAAACTCCGCGGGTAGCTTACAGTACTTTTTCCACTTTATCACAGTCACTTTTTGGACAAAAAATTGGGAACTAAACGCAGATCTAAAGTCTGGATCTCACTAAAGTTGTGTATACTGTAGTGAACATATCGGTACCCAACTTGGTGAATATATTTCTCAAAGACTATTGGATTCTGAATCGCTTAGCTGCGACCGCGTGGCAGTGAGCTCTGGTCTGAAGATCATGGCTCACTGTTACTCAAAAATCCTGGTGAGACCGGACTTGGGCATCCACCCCTTCCCTATACTGTACCCATTTGTCTTTGTATCATCACTGTGCACGTAAACATAACTAGTGACATTGATAGACATCAGTCATTTTTTAGACCGTGTAACCAAAACGTATAAGTTTACCTCAAGTGCACATGCAGCTGCATATTCTGTTATTTCTAGCTAAATGTTTTGCATCAGCGTAAAGTAGTATCGTGGACTCAACCATACTTGAGAGTTCATTTACACATGTCATGAAAAGTAAAGAACCTAGGTTAGAGCCTTGCCGTACTCCACTAAGTACTGGTTTCCAGGAGGAGCATTTTGATTATAGTCTTACTTTATATCTACGACCTACGAAGAAATCTTCCACCAACTTTGTTGGAAGTCCAACAATCCTTGGATTTTCTAGCTTCCAGAGGATTATTCATTCAGCACCTTATCGAATTCTTTGCGGAAGTTTACGCAGACACCAATTATTGATTTTTTACTATCTAGAGACCCTATCAGTTTCTCTCTTGTCATAAGAAGGTCCATTGTGAGAGGTAGCTCCTCCCACAAATTATTTTGTTTGTTGTTTAACACGTTTTTGTCTTTCATGAATGTCGTCAAGGCCTTGTTGATTGTTCTTTCTGGCATTTTACCTACGACACTGGTGATACTGACAAATTTGTAGCTTGATTAAAGTTGTCTTGATCACGTTTCGTCGATCGGAGTAGTGACTGCATTCTCCTGGTTCATAGGTAACTCACCTTTGACCAAGTAACATACTTATTGCGCAGTTTATCTCAAACTTTTATAGTGCAGTTCATCCAATCCTGTTGACCTTAGTGTGTTTTAAGTACAACGGGCCTTCGGATGTTGTATTGATCGAAGTTCACAGTGAGTAGTCGATTTTGTTACTTTACATGTAAGTCTAATACTTTGTCTAAAAGAGGCTCCTGAACAGAAACTCATGGAATAGTCCTTCTTGGAATCTGCTTTGTTCTGGTCTTCCTCCATCGTCCGAGATACTCTTCAATCCGTTATTTGCTTGGAAATTTAATGGTAAGTTCCTGCATTGTAATTTTCTTGCGACAACAGTCCCCTGGACTACTTTAAAAGTGACTATTCCAACTACGTTTCACATTTTTGCTGAGTTGCTTAAATCGCGCTTATGAACTTATTTCGGATCGACCTGTAGCATTCCATCATATTTGCCATGCTAAGGTTGATGGTGAAGTTCCATTATTTTATTCTGTAGAGGTAAATAATTCCCCAAAATCAAATAGCTCTGTAAGTTTTCGACATTGGATGCTGACCACAGTTTTAGTGGACTCATCTAGCTGAAGGCGCTCGGTCAAGCATCCTCACCAGATCACGTGTGGGAACGCCGTGCTCAACATCTGCCGCAATCGCTATCCAGCTTAGTGCAAACGATCCTCAATATATTGATAGCCTATCAAATATATCTTAGAACCTTCTCGCTTCTGTGTTTTGATTTCACTTGGTGTGTACGATTCATATTAGGCGTTACTGGTTAAAGCGTTGTCAAACTCCGATATTAGCAGACACGTAAAATGGCTGTGCTTCTTTTTTTAGGACTGTCTAGAATATAAATCGTTCAGTTACTTGATTGCATAACTGCCAGAAATGAGTCCTTTTGATGTGCCAGGGTCAATTTTCCAGTTTTCAGTCAACACTGCAGAGTTGATCACCTTCAAGCATGTTTATCATACGTTGGGACGGTCACGAGAAACCGCTTGAAACACTATGTCAACCATGAACATGAATAAAATGACTGTATGATCTATTTTCTCTAAAAGTGGAAGGAACTTTATTTGACTTACATCGTCAACATGTGTAGAGACTAAATCCACAACAGACGAAAAGTTTTATAGCTCATATTTAGTGAAATCTCTGATGTGCTGGAATAAGGCTCGAACGACTGTGGTTTCTAACAATTTGTGATCATACAATGTATTTGATGACTGTAGTATTTGTACAAACAAATGATAGTTTTGTACGTAACGACCCGCTTATTATGAATTTCAAATACAATTGGTTAATTGGTGCTCATCTAGTTCTACTTTCTGAAGAATGCACCATTTCGGGAATTCCTAGTTAGTACAAAAAATCGAATACTTTTGATTATCATAATGGTCCTACCTAGCAGTTTGCAAAGTTTATAAATAGTGCACTAGTCACCTAATATAAGGCTTGTAGGGCCAGTGAAATTCCACTGAGCCCTAGCCAAATCATCAAGCAGTTGGGTCATTGAATATCGAAAAAATCATCGATCCTCGTCAGTGTCAAGGACACTCAACGCGCATCAGTTGATCGTACGCCATGGACCGGCCCATGCGGCAGTGGTCTTACCTTTGCTTGTATCTACTTTAATTAATATACTTCTGTAATAACGTCCTCTGTGTTGTACAGTGTTCAAAGCATCTATAGTATCTTGATATGTCAATGGGGTAATCCACGTAAGGTGCTGACCGCGAAGTGTGACTTCGATGTTAGCTAGTTTGTCATACCACTCACGTCTAACTCCAGCAGGCCTTCAATCATTTCGACATAGATCATCCACGCTGGTGATCTACAGGCTTTTACACCAGAATTTACGTTTGCTTAGAAGGAAGTCATCGACTACACATTCTAGACGGAGATACGCTCCAACAAATCCAGTGTGATGCAATTTGCATTTCAGACGACAACGCATCAGTTTGTATGCCCCTAATCCATAAGCCACTGTCGAGACAGATCGTATGCTTAAGTTGGTTTTTATGTTCAGGATAATCTCGCCACACCTACGATTTAGTCTGTCATTCCTAATTAACGAGAAACCGAACAATTAAATTTCACTACCATACACTTCTGACATATCCATGTTTATGGATGTTAGTAACATCGGAGATTCTGGTATCCACCACGTTTTTGAGCTCCGCTGACTTAATAACTAAATGCAGTTATGAAAGCTTTTCCTCATATCTAAAGATTATTCCTCAATTTTCGAGCCTTTTTTCCAGTTTTTACGACTTCAAATTCCTTTCTGAAAAGAAAAAGCTGACGAGCATGAAAATAAGGATCCTAAATATAATCTTTTACTCAGTGAAGAGAGTAAGACAAGTTTTTAAGAACGCTTCATAAATAATCGTGACGGGTTTTAAGAAAAGCAATAAGAATATTTCTAATATGGTACCGACTTGGACTTTGCAGATGACCTAGCCCTCCTATCACATGCACACGAACAAATGCAGATAAAGACAGCCAGCATAGCAGCAGTCTCTGCATCAGTAGGCCTCAACATACACAATGGGGGAAAACCAAGATCCTCAAATACAACACGGAGAACAGCAATCCAATCACTCTTGATGGCGAAACTCTGGAAGATGCAGAATCCTTCACATACCTGGGAAGCATCGTCGATAAACAAGGAGGCTCAGATGCAGACGTCAAGGCGAGGATTGGCAAAGCTAGAGCGGCATTCCTTCAACTGAAAAACATATGGAACTCAAAACAACTTTCAACCAATATCAAAGTCAGAATCTTCAATACGAACGTCAAGGCAGTTCTACTGTACGGAGCTGAAACTTGGAGAACTACAACAACCACCATCAAGAAGGTACAGGTATTTATCAATAGCTGTCTACGCATGGTACTCAACATCCGTTGGCCGGATACCATCAGCAACAGCCTTTTGTGGGAGAGAACCAACCAGCTTCCAGCTGAAGAGGAAATTAGGAAAAGACGATGGAAATGGATAGGACATACATTGAGGAAATCATAAAACTGCATTACGAGACAAGCGCTAACTTGGAATCCTGAAGGGAAGCGGAAAAGAGGAAGGCCAACGAACACATTACGTCGGGAAATAGAAGCAGATATGAAAAGGATGAATAAGAACTGGAAAGAGCTTGAAAGGATTGCCCAGGACAGGGTTGGATGGAGAATGCTGGTGAGCGGCCTATGCTCCTTCACGAGGAGTAACAGGCGTAAGTAAGTAAGTAAGTAATATGGTACACTACCTATTTGGGTACATTGTGATTCGATTTCCCACGACTTAGAAATTTAGGATAATATTGACCGGTAGGTCGTTTGTAGTGAATAACTAGTACATTTTCCGTACACTACATATTTTTACGCCTTGTTTAACTCTGCTAGTAAAAACTTTTAAAATATTACGTACATCGAATATGAGTCCTTGCTTGCGATCTGTCGAAGTTGTAGACCTATTGGGACCAGTACAGTTTTATTACGTACGTACAATCATAAGAAAAATATGTACATTGAAGTTGCAGTAATTTCGTGAGTCTCTATTCGCTGCAATAAACTTGTAAGATATATGAATTATCTCTCCCATGTACTATTCATCTTTGCTCTACTTAAGTCCTTTCATCGATCGAGCGACCAACACTTACCTGCATGGACTCAATACTTTTTGTTAATAAGCAATTTTATCTTTATAAACGCGTGTTGTTTTGAAAATTTTTCATGCGTATGAAGAGCTTAATTCATTACAAAGTACCCACTGATGTAATAACCTGACGGTGAAAAAGTGGAAAACAGTAATGGCCGAAAGTAATTACGCATTCGCTCGTATCAAAAATTACTCTAAATTAAGATTCCTGAACTGTCTATCAAAGACAGGTAGAAGAATTCCATGACAATACATATGTAATCTGATAAAGATGCGTAATATAGTGCCATCAGTCAGCTAATATACAGTGAAATTACCATGATCTAAATCTTTGTTGGATGGAAATAAAACTACTTATTTCATGAGATTATTTATCATCAAAAATCATTGGACTTTAATGTTGAAAAATTGGTCCTGTTTAAATATCATAAGGCTGAATATCAAAAGAGACCACGAAGACTACTGATGTACAGAGAGGGCATGTCTCAGGATAGTATGCAACGAATACTCGGTATACTCACGTTAATTTCGTCCAATATAAACTACTCACTATATCATAAAAATATGACGATTACAAATATTCAAGAGTCGGGTCACTGGTTATTGATCAGTTTGCCAAGGACAATCGGCGAGCATTTATCTATGGAACTGATCCATATCTCTTACTAATATGCTTCCGTAATAACGTTGTTTGTGTTGTACGGTCTTCATCGAAGCCATAGTACATGGATACAAGAAAAGGGTAGTCTACGGTGAGTATTGACCTTGAGACGCGATTAATATGAAAGAAGAACGGTCACTCCATTCCTGTTCAACTCTAGTTAACCTAAATAATTGTCATAGATAATCTGCGTTAGTGATCTATAAAAAACATTATTTGTTCCATATTTCCATAAACAATCTACCTTAAAACGACGAACAATCGCAACTGAGTATTTTTATTTGCTTCTGTTGCTGTTGGTGCATCCATTTCGGGTCCCTACTAATAAATAGAATTATCTGTCCAACAAAACACAACGTGCTAAAAGCGAAATCGGTGGTACATTCTGTTGAGCTATACAACAGCTAGCCCGTCGTTAACTTAACTTTTCCAAGAATAATTCCTGCAGGTTATTCAATATGCTCTGCGTTGGGGATTCAGAAGAAACCATGGAAGAACTGTACCTCTTCAATAGACAAGAGAGATTTCAAGAAGCCAAAGCAACGTAATTACAGTCTAGAAAAGTTCATTGATTTTTATTTTCCCTGGATCTATTCTCTTCTTGTTTCTGACAAATTAACCATCCTCTCAGTCTCTTTGAAATGGAAAACGATACGAACGAATTAACATTTGTAAGGTCTCAAATGTTAAAAGTTCTACACGATAGAGATGGAAACTCTAGACAAGATAATTTTGTCATACCTGTGCGTTTCACTAAGGATCCAACATCCATATAAATCAAACACAACGAAGAGATAGAAAGCAAGCGCAAACAAATCATAGGTTTTATACAGGTTTGATGCTATTATATTGCAGTAGATTCAATGGCGCGCTTTGTAACGATGTACGTTGCGATGGTTTTCCTGCAAGGCATACAGACAGGTAAAATTAGCAAGTCCTAGTAAAGGGTCCTCCATGTACACAGTAATTAAAACCTACAATTAGGCACATCAAATACGATCAGTACAGCACGAGTTTGAATTAACAACCAGCTAACACTCAACAGGGAATTTAGTGGCCTCCTTGCAGTAACTCTAACCCTTCTCGCCAAAAACTATACAAAATCGCAACATAATCACCCCATTAAACCATGTATGCCACTGGGAGGAACGCACGTCACTCCGTTCGAAATGTTCGATGTGGGTCTTGACTCATGTAGGTTTCTACGGTAACAAACGACTTGGTAGTGATGCCCTAAGCCGCTGCCTCCTAAATCTCAATCAACCTCCTCAGTGATGTCCCCAAAGTCCTGCTGATTCTTTTACTAATTCATACCCTTCCAGAATGTTAGTTGTGGTCTGCATATTCCTAATCTTAAATAGCTGGCATAATACCATTGTCAGTATCCTTTAAAAATTAGATCTTTCGTCAAAATATACTTGCTCTGGTACGCAACATCTCCGTAACCATCGGTTTTGTCACATTATTTGGACCTGGCTAGACACAGAATCACTCCGACTTATGCCACCTGGTCCCACAATGACCCCGAACACTTTGTCTCCCAAAATTTCTCCGATTTTCTTACGGCTCAGTGGTCTAGAGGCTAAGTGCTCGCCACGCGAGACCGTAGGTCTTGTGCTCAAAACCCGCGGGTGGGATCGTGGATACGCACTGCTGAGGAGTCCCATACCAGGATGAAACGGCTGTACGGCGCTTCCAGATTTCGCCCCCGAATACCCTGGTACTGCTGAGAGTGGTGAGAGTCAGTTCTCCCTCTCGAAATGCTTTCATGTGCGTACAACCACTGTCAGGGATGTCCTACTCACTGCCTTCTCGCAGTGGTGGTGTTTACGAAACTAGGAGGACACAAACAAATGTCCGGTGCTTTAACCAGTTTGGTGGACACAGGGTTCACCTAGGGAAGTAGCAAAACCCTTATTCCGAATCAATGGTCCACATGGGCTCCAGGATCCTAAAGAAACAAATGACGTATGAACCTATTCTTGGTCATCGGCTATTATGGAACTGCATCTCCTTACGTTGCTCCACTGCCTTGTGGATTAGACCTTTAAGTCAAAGGTTTCGGGTGTGACTCCCTAAAAAATCTACCTGATTTTGTTTGGGCACCCGGATAGTATTCCAGCCTTCACATAAACCGGGTGATATTGAACACCAGATATAGGGAGGTGTTATTCCTTCGTTTCACAAATCCTGATTACGTACCCAACAGCTTCACTGTTCTAATGTCAGTATCCACCAAAATAGTGTGTGGAATTTAATTGTGCATCTTAACCTAGTGAAAAGTTGTAGAGTGGGAAAGATTAAGCTAACTAGCAATGAAAAATCTAATCCCGTATTTTTATTACTAGATGTATAAATGAAATACAAAAGGGCGTGGAAAACAGATGAAGAGTGGGTACAAACTTGGTTCAATGGGGAGATTATGTGACGGTTTTTGTATAGTTTTGAGTGAGATGAGTTGGAGTTACTGCATGGAGGCCACTAAGTTCCCTGTTGAGTGTTAGCTAATCGTTAATCCGGACTCGTGTTGTACTGATCGTGTTTAATGTGCCTAATTGTAGGTTTTAATTACTGTGTACATGGAGGACCCTTTAATAAGACTTGCTGTTTCTACCTGTCTGTATGCCTTGCAGTAAAACCGCTACATATATGCTGAACCTGCTAGAATGCATAACTCTATGAAGTAATGTGAAATTGTTCCTTTCCCCAATTAAGGTATTACAACCACTGTGGCAGTGCTTTGCCATAACGGGCAGCTATGTAGTGGGCTAAACTATCTGCTTTTAGTTTTAATTTCAGGATTGTCTTAATCTAAGGCTTGTGTTACTGTTTATTGTTGTCAATTGCTTTCCTTAATAGTTGTAAGTGCATAGTGTGCGCTTGATGGGTCATCGGTTCACTTTTTCTTTTGTTATCTTGTTCAGCTCTCTATATACTCCATTAGTACACAAAGTACCTTCTGGCTAGACGCGAACCGCTACAACGTTTTAACGCAGCGGGAAACTCACGTTATTTTATTATCGACTATTAGATTGTCTTACTCTTACTCCTGTTTTATTCCTGATTGTTACTAATTGCATCCATTGTTAAATGCAAGTGCATTCTGTATTCTTACTGACTTGGCTCAGTTTTTCTCTCGTTCTCTTCTTAGATTTCTACACTCGCTTATCACATAACATACTTTCAGGCTAGACGCAAAACATTCAAAGGCTGGACGTTACAACGTCGTAAAAAGTTGGTTATCTTAAAATAAGTCAATGACAAGTTCAGTTACCTGCATAATTGAAGTCTCATTTGCTTCAGTATAAGCTTTGTTACGCTAATAATGAAACTGTTACATGGCGATGCAAATATTCCCGACATGAAGTCTATATTTGGTTCAGATGTTTCTGGATGTGTTAACATGAATGTAATGCCTGGCAGCAAATCAGCAAACCTAGTGCCATACGCTGTTAAAAAGTTCCAAAGTGGAGAGACGGATACGGTAAGAATTTTAAAGTATTTTTATGTGCATCTTTCTGTTGCTATCATGTTTTAAAGTGAATATACGAACTATAATCTTGATAAATTCGTTCACGTTCTGAAAGTCTGTACATCAGTCTACCTACCAGAATTAGACTAGGGTTACCTATCCTAGCTTATGTGACATCTACATTCCATTAATCGCTGCCGTCTTTACATGAGTATTCAACAAGAATGGTTCATAGTTTTTGAGATTTGTGTTAAATGGAAAGACTTATACTAGTAATTTTAACAACTTCATATCAGCATCCCATATCCTTCAATATTGCCAGGCAAACGATTACACCTGTATTTATTAAAGCACAATAAGTAGCACCAGTTGGCTGAATTAGTTTCTTTCGTTTTACGCCTCTACATGACCCAAAAATAACGTTTCGGGAAGAAGTGGTTCAATCAAAGCTTTACAAAAGGTGTATCTGACTATCAACTTAGAATACAATCTACTGTATGGTAGTTTTGTCATACCATCAAGAAGCGTAAAAAGTACTCTATCTGCGCAAGGTTCAGCCAGTGAGTTATGTTAATTATAAGGAACACTCAACATCGCTGTACAGTGATTACTCTCCTGGATTTATTGTTTTATAATGAGTTCATATTTTCTAGTTACGTGTGGTTGCCACGGGTAAATTAATTTATTGGTGTTTAGCCATCATATGTAAGAGGTTATTGGTTACGTATTTCAGTTAAATGTATACTTGTCCTGATAAATTCTAGTAACAAACATGTGTCATTACTAAAAGTGCTCTACTCCGATTTCACCTACTACTTTTGTGTCAATCATGAATGTATTAAGCTTGGGGAAAGCCTATCATGATGGGTATTGAAATGGAAATGAATTAGTAAACTACAGCTTGTCAATTTCCCAATAGTATACAATCAAGATTTTATGTGTGGGTACTATTCGAATATAACTTTGAGCTCCGTATTGTTTACTTAGTAAATAGTCTTTTCAGCTTTAAAAATACTAGATTGGTTCTGTTTTACAATTGCCAAAAACAAATTCACCATCCCATACAATTATTTCGTGAGAACCGATATATTTTATAACCCTTCTTTGCTTTTAATAATGGTCCCAAATATCTCTGACTTTCTATGATCTTGAATTGGGTTTCAAGAGATCTAAAACTACTATTTTCATTCCATTTTCTGCTATTTTACTTTAAAGGGTTTGATTGTTATAATAACACTTAAGAATCTGGATTGCATTTACAGTTTCAGTAAGAACCCCTAGTAATTAATTTACTGTGATACTTTTTGCACAGATTATATGGTGGAGCAAACACGGTGCTGTTGCCAAGACTGTTGCATGTGCTGAGATGTTCAAAAGCATTGTACTTAACACAATCTCACAGACGTCACAATTAGATAGTGCCAGCCCACCAAAAATTTACCAATGTAGTCGCCTGCATCTTCAATCATGTAATTGCTCAGTTCCTGATACAACAATAACTTGCACCCTGGTAAGATCGGTTATCTACAACTTAGTTTTATCTTTATAAACCTTTATCAACATCTCTAAGAAGTAACTTAATTGTAATCTATATCATAAGTATTAGGTATCACGTAAATACTTCGATTTGTCTTTCTGACTTGCCTTGTTATTCGAATAAAGACTGAATTCAAAAAGTATGACACCTTCAAATATGGATACTACAATCCATATATTGCTGGTAAACCTTTTGGGATAAGTTGACCCATTGTACTCAAAGGTAGCTGCTATATGCACTGGAGCACATGATCCTTTAGGTCCTACCATACCAGACAGGCTAGTTGAAAAACGATAAGACTAAAAGCAGTGAACTCATTCCGAGTGATTATTTATTTTATTTTATTTTAACACATAAGTATAGGTACAGGGAGGCACCAAGTACATATGCGCCACACAAATCAAAATTGATTTGTGTGAGGGCTGGGATACTGCCCGGGTACCCAGACCGAAGCAGGTGGTTTTCTTAGGGGGCCACACCCCGAGCCTTTGACCTAAAGGTCTAGTCCACAAGGCAGTGGAGCATCGTGAGGAGATGCAGTCCCATGGGAGCCGGTGACCAAAAGTTGGTTCATACGCCATTTGTTCCCGCAGGATACTGGAGCCCATGTGCACCATAGAATTGGGATCCGGTTAAAGCGCCGGACATTCGCTTTTCGTCCTCTCATTTTTGTAAACAACACCCCCGCCACGAGAAGGCAGTGAGTAGGACTTCCCTGGCAGAGGCTATATACGCATGGCCATGTGAGAGCATTTCGAGAGGGAGAGCGGACTCTCTCCACTCTTAGCCGTACCAGGGCATTTGGGGGCATTCCGAGTGAAGTCGTACTTATAACTGTACAAAGACGTGATAGCAGTCAAGTGTTTCTGCTAGCTAACCACCATCTCCGGCGGTGCTGTCTGTATCTAAAAATAGAACACAGCACATCCCTTAAATTTTGGCTGCTGACGGCTTGGTCTTGTAGGTACATAGCTGGCACATCTCAAACTGTTCACATAAAGGCCTTATGTGACCAACCTCAAGTAGTTACTGCTTGGGCTCTGTGGTCACGTTCCTAAGTCATCATTTGAAATGTAGTTACTTAGTTTAAAGTGTATTCAGCCACTCTTCATTTGATTACAGATATCTTAGAAATACTGCTTACATCTACTGGGATCACCGGGTAAGTAATAGTGAGGTTAGACGCAGGGTATAAGGAATGATGGGTAAATCGGTTGGTGAGGTTGTGAATCTTCATCGACTGAGATGGCTGGGCCACGTGTTACGTATATCTGAACACCGATTACCACGACGCGCAATGCTGACTAGTGTTGGGGATGGTTGAAAGGAAGTTAGGGGAGGGTTCGGTCAGAGCACCCGGGCAGTATGACAGCCCACACACAAATCAAGTGACTTGTGTGGCGCATATGTATTCGGTGCCCCCTTTGTACCAATATTTGTGTTCAAATAAATAAAATAAAGGGGTATTTATAATTTATTTATTTGAACACATAAATATTGGTACAGGGGGGCACCAAATATATATGCGCCACACAAAACAATGATAATTTGAAGAGAAGGAGAAAAGAGAAAAAAAAAGTAATGAACGTGGGGAATTATAAAAAAAAAGGAGAGAGAGAACAATGGTGGGGGAAACGGAAAGGTACAATCAGAAGAGATCTTTCAGTTAAGGAAGATACAACCACTTTTTATGGAGAAAGTAAGAGGTTACAGCACGATCGCCACTGGCTTCTATTCTTAGCCATATCTGATAACGTCTCTAGCCACTGCGTTACACCGTCTCTCGGACCCCAACCAGGGAGTCGTGAAGGACCAACAGAAGCTAGCCCTTTGCAGCTTTCTTTCATACCACGACACCATGTCATATACTGACCACCTCTCCGCTTTTTCCAACCAGTCCCAGAGTCGGCAAATAACGCACGACGTGGAATTCTCTGGGACGACATTCGTAGAACATGTCCAAGCCACCGAAATCGGTGTTTCAAGATGGTGACACCAATTTCAATATCGTCTCTGTGACCGAACCTCTGCATTACTGACATGGTGTTGCCACTGGATGCCAGCAATCCTTCGGAGACAACGATGATCGAACACAGAGAGTCGTCTAACATCCTCAACTCGGAGAGGCCAGGTTTCACAAGCATAGAGCAAAACTGCTCTCACCGTCGCGTTGTAGATCCGACCTTTTACAGCCAGACTAACATCACGAAGGCGCCAAAGATGGCCCAGATTGGCATAAGCCGCTCTGGCTTTCACTATACGTGCATTGATCTCATCACTCACACCACCACCAGCACTTATGCAGCTACCTAGATACACGAACTTCTCGACTGCTTCAATCTGCTCACCATCCAGAGTGAGTACAGGATTAGAATCCTGCCAGTCTTGTAGAAGAACTTTGCACTTCGAAGGTGCAAAGCACATACCATACCTACGGACACTGATTGCCAACTGATTAAGTGCGGATTGCATGGCTTGGGCATTCTCGCACAGTAAGACAATATCATCCGCATACTCAAGGTCGAGAAGTCTTTCTCCAGAAAATATTCGTTTCTCTCCGACTAACATTGAAATGACTGGTATTATTATTATTATTTACTACGTCATTTATTCACTATCTCCTATTTCTACTTTTTGTATCCGCTTCGACTCAGACAGTAGCTCGCCTATGGTGAAAATTCAGCTTTAACTAAACGTTCTCGAGTCACTGCCTGGTTGAAAATTGTATGTTACTACCGAATATGAGTACTGGAGCAGTTTTTCTGAAACCACGTGCACCATTCAAACTGGATGCCTTCAACGTTCGCACACTTATGCAGGTCGGACAACAGATAGGGCTGGCTATGTCTTTGGAAAGTCTTAATATTGATGTGTGTTGTCTATCCGAGACCCGTATTCAAGACTCTGGTGAAGTACTACAAGTTCGCTCTCCATCTGTCACTTCAAAAAGCTTGTTTTATGTGCGTTTATCCGGGGACCCTGTGGCATCTTCGTCTGGTCTTGCTGGCGTTGGTGTCGCACTAAGCGCAAGAGCTGAGGCAGCACTAGTCGACTGGATCCCCATTAACAGTCGGTTATGTGCTATTAGATTAGAAAGTTCCATCAAAGTGAGAAGAAATCGGCGTGAGAAACGATGTCTTTTCGTCATCTCCGCCTATGCCCCGACAGATTGCAGCCCGGATGCAATCAAGGACGAGTTCTACCATCAGCTAACTGTTCTTCTCCAGAAAGTGCGTTCGACAGATATTGTAGTACTAGCTGGAGACTTGAATGCTCAGGTCGGGCGTCTAGGCACAGAAGAGAGTCGTTTAGGTGGCCGATGGGGACTCGTTGATCGCAGGACAGATAACGGGGAACGTCTACTGCAACTATGCACAGACCACAACCTGTTTCTGGATAGCACTAACTTTCGGCACAGTCTTCGCCGATGTGCCACCTGGCGTCCCCCTTCTGCATCTCAAGCCTGGACTCAGATTGATCACATCGCGATCAGCTACCGCTGACGCGGTTGTGTACAAGACTGCCGCTCCTTTTGGAGTACCTATCTGGAATCTGATCATGCTCTGGTCTGCGCCAATCTTACCTTACTTTTCAGTGGACAAAGAAGTGACCGCCACCAAAGGATTGATGTTAGCCAGCTGGCTGCAACTTCTGTTGCTAGTAAGTACCGAACCGAGCTAGCTTCTAGGCTAGCATTGGTTGCAATTGCATGACGCCATGAAAATGGCGGGTACAGTCTGTTGTGGGTTTGCGAAACGTGCCGCTTACAAGCACTGGGTTTCTTCTGGTTCCTTACAACTGATTGAAGCCCGTCGGTCTACTCCGGGTGACCGTGAGTTTGACCACAGACGAAGGATGTTACGTAATGAAATCGGGCAAAGCTTGCGTAAGGACCAAGAAGCCTGGTGGTCGGAGCGTGCCAGTGAGTTGGAAGCAGCAGCTGCATCTGGTAATTACCGGAAGCTCTTCCAACTCATCCGAGCCACTGGCAGCAAGAAGTTTGGTGTGAGCGAAACAATCTGCGAGGATGACGGAACGCCAATCACTAACATCCATCGACATCTTGGACGATGGGCAGAATTCTTTGAAGGGCAGTTCAACTGGCCTGCTGCTCCGGCAACATCGGTCAGACTGTCCTGCCCTCCATGGCCGGTGACGACTGATCCACCAAATGAGGCGGAAGTCCGCAAGGAACTCCAACTCTTGAAACGTTACAAATCACCGGGCCCAGATGACTTACCTCCGGCTCTTTTTAAAGATGGTGGTGACTTTCTGACCAAGGGACTGACGACGTTGTTTACAAAGGTCTGGGAACTAGAGAGTGTACCAACGTCATGGAATGAGTCGATAGTTGTCCCTATCTTTAAAAAGGGTTCACGTTGTTCCTGTAACAACTATCGGGGGATAAGTCTACTTCCGATTGCGTCCAAGCTATTGGCTTCCGTCATACTTCGTAGGTTGTTCAGAACCCGAGAAGGATTGACTCGCGAGGAGCAGGCTGGGTTTCGTTCTGGTCGAGGATGTATTGATCATATCTTCACCCTCCGCCAAGTGTTAGAACACCGCCATACTTATCAAAGGCCAACAATCGTAGTGTTTCTTGATATCAGGGCTGCCTTCGATTCGTTGGACAGAACTGTTCTCTGGGATTGTCTATTGAAGAAGGGTATGCCTGAGAGGTTTATTAACATCCTGAAAGCATTATACACAAATACCTCAGGCAGAGTGAGGGCATACAATCACCTTTCTCCACTATTCCATTCGAGCAGTGGGGTTAGGCAGGGTTGCCCAATCTCACCATTCCTCTTCAACTTTGCCATCGATGACATTCTGGAAACAGCTCTGACGGATGTAAGTAATGGTGGTGTGGATCTGTTGCCTGGAGAAAGACTTCTCGACCTTGAGTATGCGGATGATATTGTCTTACTGTGCGAGAATGCCCAAGCCATGCAATCCGCACTTAATCAGTTGGCAATCAGTGTCCGTAGGTATGGTATGTGCTTTGCACCTTCGAAGTGCAAAGTTCTTCTACAAGACTGGCAGGATTCTAATCCTGTACTCACTCTGGATGGTGAGCAGATTGAAGCAGTCGAGAAGTTCGTGTATCTAGGTAGCTGCATAAGTGCTGGTGGTGGTGTGAGTGATGAGATCAATGCACGTATAGTGAAAGCCAGAGCGGCTTATGCCAATCTGGGCCATCTTTGGCGCCTTCGTGATGTTAGTCTGGCTGTAAAAGGTCGGATCTACAACGCGACGGTGAGAGCAGTTTTGCTCTATGCTTGTGAAACCTGGCCTCTCCGAGTTGAGGATGTTAGACGACTCTCTGTGTTCGATCATCGTTGTCTCCGAAGGATTGCTGGCATCCAGTGGCAACACCATGTCAGTAATGCAGAGGTTCGGTCACGGAGACGATATTGAAATTGGTGTCACCATCTTGAAACACCGATTTCGGTGGCTTGGACATGTTCTACGAATGTCGTCCCAGAGAATTCCACGTCGTGCGTTATTTGCCGACTCTGGGACTGGTTGGAAAAAGCGGAGAGGTGGTCAGTATATGACATGGTGTCGTGGTATGAAAGAAAGCTGCAAAGGGCTAGCTTCTGTTGGTCCTTCACGACTCCCTGGTTGGGGTCCGAGAGACGGTGTAACGCAGTGGCTAGAGACGTTATCAGATATGGCTAAGAATAGAAGCCAGTGGCGATCGTGCTGTAACCTCTTACTTTCTCCATAAAAAGTGGTTGTATCTTCCTTAACTGAAAGATCTCTTCTGATTGTACCTTTCCGTTTCCCCCACCATTGTTCTCTCTCTCTCTCTCTCCTTTTTTTTTATAATTCCCCACGTTCATTACTTTTTTTTTCTCTTTTCTCCTTCTCTTCAAATTATCATTGTTTTGTGTGGCGCATATATATTTGGTGCCCCCCTGTACCAATATTTATGTGTTCAAATAAATATAAATAAATAAACAATGGAATTAGAAGGATATATCACCAATCCCTTCAGAAATTTTAGTCATAGTCATCGTTGGGACGTATATATTTGAAGCTTTGAAAGTCGGTGGACAGGATTTTTTAAGATATCAACTTTTATTAGCAAGTCTACCACTTATTTCAATAACTAGATAAACATATCATCCAAAGTTATCTTAACCCTATGTGTTTCCAGTTACAGTGGACCTACATTTAAAAGCTATCTAAAATCCCTCGCATAACTGTTATGTAAAACATTGTGCTATAGCCCAACTAGTCTTTCTGTTAGGATATGTTATGAAAATGCAACCTCTTTTTTTCCATCACAATTATATGTGGGTATGGTGAACTCAGTGATTAGATCTTAATACATCAAAAAATATGGTTTGATGCTTTTTCTCGTCTATAAGTGTTATATCCAATCATTTAATAATCTGAAATTATATTCATTACTAACTTGTCGTGTATGTGTTTCTACCTAGGAAGAACCGGGGATTGCTATCCTATTTTCCAAATCTCAGTTCCCAGGAGAAGATTGTCAACTGCCTGTTGATTTCGGGGGTAACAGTTTTTCAGACTTTATGAACAAAGGGGATACATCTAAATCAAATTTAGATCATCCACCTAGTCGTCGTCGCTTATCTCGTACTATTCGGAAAAAACGTGATACCGTTCGTGACTCCAATAAGAACGAGGCCAAGTTTGTTAATAATAGTTCTTCAGAGATGGGTGATTTCCATAGTGTCCCTTTTCAAACACCCCGTCTGGCTGCGGCTATTTCAAATGTAAATAAAGTATTAAAGCATAAAAAATTGAATAGGAAACGAAAAAAGTCAAAGTCGTGAAGAAATACTTTGTGGTGTATTTTTATTTACCTAGTTCCGATTGTGATGTCCATTACCTTTTCGCACTTATTTTTACAATGAAACAAAGAGTATAAAATTGAAATACACTTTATATTGTATTATTTAGTACAAGTTTTTTCTTTAATATACAAGTTGATTTTAAAATATTTCTCAGACAACTCTGCTACATAATTGTTGTTGTTGCTTTAAAAGCATAAATAATAACTTGTAAAACCTAAAGCATGATAGGCTATCAGTGTCCGCTCAATAACCAATCTTCTGAACAAGTAGCTTTGTAAGGATATGTGTCTAGATTAGTCTGTAAATTTGTACACTCAGCAGCAATTCTCCATCGTGAGTTATCTCTAAAAGGAACTGAATTGTTGTTCATTTTACATTTTTCTAAATTGTCTTCGTTTGCTTCAGGTTGGTCTTTTACTGGAGATTCATTTTGTACTGAGTTTTCACTGAGTAATGATACGTCTTGGTCACTGTATTGTAACTTTAGTGGATACGTGATGTTTGTCTCCCGATCTTCTTCCATTACGGTTATTCGCTTTTTCAGTAGATTAACCTTATTTATTGAAAAACAAATAACTGATTAGTCCCAGTGCGTCTTCTCGAAAAACATCAAGTTTTTCCACAATTATATCAAGTCGACAGAAAGACGCTTAAAGACAAATATCCTTCAAGTAGTCAGCAACTGGTCGAATCACCAGTTTATAGATTTCGATGCATCAAGAAGTGAAGTAGTCAGTACGTTAAGTTGTTCCGTCTTTTGACGGAGAAAACGATTATCCTTAGGGTTCTCGTACAAGCCTTCGGAACATTCCTTTGCATTAGCTTGCCTACCTACTATAACATTATTTGTATTCTTTGAATCTGTCTCAGGATCTGTGGATAAGTATCCAAAACGATAAAAACCAGAAAAAATCTACCTGTAGAAAGCTGTTTGCCATAAATAAATGGTTATCTAAAAAGAATTAATTGTAATTATTGATGCTGAACCGGCTGACATCGCCATCAAGCAGTATGAGACTTTATTTGACCACATCTGCTAAAGGCATAATCAACTGCTTTTCGATATCATCACTTACGGCTGAAAGTCTTAATTTCCATTCTTTATGATTATTTTTAATTTAGTAAAAATGTAAATGAATGCGCTTTCCTATATTATAACTAACTATGTCACCTTATGATTTATCAAATCCGATTAAGTTATAAGAAATAATTGATTAGTTAGGAAATATACTAATCAGCATTATGTTACGTGATGGGACAAACAAACACTTGAAATTCATTCCAACAAAAATTAGTCCTAAGGTCTGTTATTTGTCATTGTTTCACAAATAACAGTTTGGGCAGACTAGTACCTTCTGTTTCGCTGAAGATTCTATTTTCGCTGAAAAGCCTACATCGATACCTACATTTGGTGTGGACGGTCTTCGAAGTTTTAGGATATTAACTAATGGATCAAAGAGTCTAAATTGAACTACATATAACTAACCTGGAGACGCAATGCCTCAATAGTTGCCTCCATATGAGTACGTGATTCAATCGGTAATGAATTTCCTAATTGTGCTATACGTTCTTTATGCCAGCGAGTCTTCATATCGTTCCACGCCTTTTCTTGCTGACGAAGAGAAATTTCTGCTAAACGTGCTCTATTGCGCTCTTTTGATATAGCCTCCTTCAAGATCTACAGAAGAGGAGCAGGTAATTAATATAGCCGGTTGTTATATATAAGACCTTGCACATAAACCTAACACAACTATAATAAGGGTATCGTCTGAAATCATTATTTAAATCCGAATTAATCTGGAGAACGGTATAGTGTTTAAAGATCACCTCAACCCTTCTTTTAAGGGAGTAGAAACATTCCTGTTTTCGCTGCATTCCCATATCCATTACTCATTCAATTTCTGATTGGCTAAACCAACAGTGACTTAAATGTGACTGGAATACTGTGTAGTTCTTATAACAAGGTGTTGTGGAGATTGTTAGTTCCCATGGTTTGCATCACCGAATTGTCTTATTAGATGAGTACCAAAAACCAGGAAGCACTGGGCAGCTATCTCACCATAGTATGCGATTCCTCAGGAGCGCTCACCCACAACCCCAGGCGGGGATCAAACCCATGAGTTCTAGGTCTTGATGAGAGCATTTAACCGTTAGATTACTGATCCGTCGTCCGTTGGTCTACATGTCGGGTTTCAATGAAGTCATAATTTGAAAGTCCTAGGTCCGATCCCTGATGTACTTACACGGGAGGAAAAAACAGCTATCCGCTGCTTCCTGGTTTTCACTTATTATCTAAGATCAGTTCGCGATGTAAAGTATGAAATACTGTGTGTAACGTTCAGATCGAGTTACGTCAGTCAATTGACCGCACTTCATGTCAAAGGTCTGATTAAAGGTATATAATAAGCAAACTTTTTGGTGCAGCACAAGTTCCACGTTCGAGTTTGCATCTAAAACAACTGCATGGTCCCGGTGATGCTTCATGTTCTTTTGTTATTAAGTCGGTATCAGCTGTTAAAGGATTTCGTTGTAAGTTTTCGATCATAAAGTCGAATGGTCTAATCACCAAGATTTCTTTGTCTTTCTAGACAAAATCACCACCAAGAAAACCAAAGAAAAATTATCTATATGTTGCATCTTCCAAAAATGTCAACGTTCTGTTTTGCCTAAATATCAAATATCACGAAATATCCTCACCTACATCAACCGATACGAACATTAATTAGACTACGAAATTATGAAATCGTCAACAGGAGCAATATTTAAATTGACCAAAGAATTTCCAAAAGTTTGATCACTAAGTAATCAATAAGTATACCAAAATATATCCAGTTTATTGACTAGTGAGAAAATAGATCAATGACTACAAATTTAGCAGTCAGATAATGGAAAATGTCATAAAAAGAATTTATAGTCAATGACTGTACAAGTATTACCAGCGACCACTGAAACTTCGATGTTGACATGACAAGCTTTTTATTGGCGTCAAGGGTAATTTCAAAAGCCGATCTCTTTGAATTTACGCTGGGAATGTATTTTTAAAAATGAAGATAACTTCATGATTAAACCGTCCAGCCTAGAAAACGCAACATCGTGAGAATTTTTTTGTTAAGCTTTAAATTTCCACTACGTTTATTCAGAAAACTCGGTAGAAACTAAAAGTATAACTAATACATTATTCAATAGTTTGAAATGTAAGCTTTAAGTGAGCAGTTATAAACCACAGATGTAGATACCTTTTTATTTGTATGTTATCAACTATACATTTAATTCTGAGAATTTCACATTTTGGAACAGTTCTCGCCTCGTCGAATCTATGAAATACTCGTTATTTCCTGCTCCATAAAGTAACATTTTATTAATATTTCCATACATTATACTGATAATATTAGTCAATAATAAACGTCTCCATTTAGAGTTATTATAAATAGAACTGTACGAATATAAAGTACAGAAAAGTCGTTGGGAATTATTACTTTTCAGTTGAATTTTATGTAAATTATACAGGGATATTTTGTTTCAAAGTCCTTCATCAACTGAGAAAATGTTTGTTACTCTTGAGTCATAAAGGAATGTTAGTACAAATGTTTTACCTATTCTATATTTAAAAGATCAACATAGAATCCATTACATAACAATTAACAATATATATAATACTATTTATGAAGTAATATTTATATCAATAGTTGAGATCTAAGTCAATTGAAGCCATATCACCATGGAAAACCTGAAAGCACTGGATGCCCGTTTCGTCCCATTTTTGGACTCCTCAGAAATGCGCATGCACGACTCTGCCTCACGAAATTCGAACACAGAACCTATCGGTCCCGCTCGTTAGCGCTCAACCTCCAGGCAACTGAGCTGGTCTGCATCCAACGGTGTTAGTGTCTAACTTCAACTAATTCACGAAATTGAGTGACATATCCACCATTGTCATCAGTGAGTCACTATCTCACATTAACACCGTTGGATACAGACAAGCTCAGTTGTCTAGAGATTAAGAGCTCGCACGCAAGACTGATAGATCCTGGGTTCGAATCCTTCGAGGCGGAGTCGTGGATGCGCACTCCTGAGGAGTCCAAAAATAGGACGAAACGGGCGTCCAGTGCTTTCAGGTTTTCCATGGTGATCTGGCTTCAATTGACTTATGATCTCAACTATTGAAATTACTATAATATCTACAAAACCCCATCTGATACGAATATTTATGTATCAATAATAATAAATACCTACCAATACTTCTTGCTTTTGCTTATTCTTCATTTGTTCAATTTCACTTTGAAATGATTCGGATAATGTTTCTTCTGTGTCCCTTTTTTCTTGTAAAGCCTTCTGTAATATCATGTCTAAATTAATTATTTTCTCTTGACATTCATTTAGTCGCTTTATAAAAGACATCATTAAAAAATTATCATCAGTCAATTATAAAATATATAGTTATAATTGACTCATTTACCAAGTAATTGAGTATGAGGTACACTAAATTTAAGGGCTAATAAAACTATTCACTCAACCTAAATCAAAGTAGGTTGAGTGGGGTTAGTTTGAAGATTTTTCTTATGAAATACTTTGAATTAACGTGAAACTAAAAGTAATAATAGTAATGATCAAATCATTTCTTGGATCCCAACCGAATAAATCTAAGAAACCCGGATAATTGAATGTATAAATTATATTAGGTGATTCAAGCTACCATTTATAGATAAAATATACCATCTAAATAGTACAGTTAAGAATAAGGATCAGTATAACGAAGTGACCAATAATTCGTTTGCAACAAAAATTGATGTCATAATATATCAAGAATAGAAAAGATCTCGAGCATTTATACATTATAGTTAATTTGGGCATTTCAATGGTCAAATTCTGACTGCTAAACTTAAATATCCATTAGTTAAGGGATCCAAGTTGTCTTTGGTAAATGAGTCTTATAAGACACTATGAAAATTACGAATATAGTTATTTTTAACGTAGGAAATATTACTAGACATTTGAATTCTGTTCATTCTTTACAAATATATTTTGACTATCTTTTTATTTCCCTAAATTACAAGTACAACAATTTGTAATAATGTCGTACTCATAACGTTTTACAAAAACGTACATAAAGACTCAACTCCGCCTGGGGTCCCTTTCGGGGGCTACCGCCGGTCCCAAGCCCGGATAAAGGATGAGGGTTGGGCATGAGGTTAGCGACCCCATCCCGTAGAAAACTAACTCGCTAAAAAACGATAACCAGAAAAAAACTATTCAAACCATTTAAACTCTGCCCTGGGAGTCAGAAAGTCTTCATTTAGAAGAGTTATGACGCCTCGTGGTTAAAGCCGAGTTTCTTCGGAAGTCACGAGACTGATACCCCTTCTGATAATCAGAACAACCACTTAATTAGGTACATGGAGTGTCCGTACAATGTGGGAGACCGGGAGAGTCTTCAAATTGCTGCAAAACATAAAGACTCCAAAAACCTAATATTTATAGATGTACAATGAGAACAACAATATATGTAAGAAAACTAACATATGTACATACTTTATTTGCTTCCGTTAAGCGAGTTTTATATTCTCTTTCTATTCCTAACAATTTTTCATTAGCCTTCATTGAAAAGGAGAAAAAAAGACTTTCATAAACAGTAACAGAGTTTAACCAATTTATAATAGTTAGACTAATGTTCTATAAAAACTTTCTGATAAAAAATTTGTGCTATGTAAGCTTCATATAGGGTTGAAAAATTACTTTATTATTTTATTTGAACACATAAATATTGATACAAGAGAACACCAGATACATATGTGCCACACAATAATAATGAGAACGGAAAGAGATAATGAATGTAAAGTGTGTGTAAAAAGAAAAAAAAGAACGATAACGACCACAAATTAGTGTATGGTAGTGAAATATTAATAATAATAATAATAATAATAATAATAATAATAATAATAATAATAATAATAATGGAGGAAACAGAAAGGTACAAACAGAAAGAATCCTTTCACTTAAATAAGTTACTGTCACTTTTTATGAAGGATTGCCACTGACTTCTATTCTGAGCTATATATGATAACGTCTCTAGCCACTGCGTTGCACCATCTCTCGGACCCCAGCCAGGGAGTCGAGAACGACCAACAAAAGCCAGCCCTTTGCAGCTTTCTTTCATACCACGACACCATGTCATACACTAACCACCTCTCAGCTTTTCCCAACCAGTCCCAGAGTCGGCAAATAATGCACGACGAGGAATTCTCTGGGACGACATTCGTAGAACATGTCCAAGCCACCGAAGTCGATGTTTCAAGATAGTGACACCAATTGAATTATCGAATCTGCGCCCGAACACTCGATACCAAACCTCTGCATTACTGACATGGTGTTGCCACTGGATGTCTTCAGTCCTTCGGAAACAACGATAATGAAATACAGAGAGTCGTCTAACATCCTTAACTCGCAGAGGCCAGGCTCCACATAAAAATAAAAAATATATACTTTTCTTTCTTTTTTGATATATTTTTTAGGTCATTTCAGGAGGAAAACCGTTTTAAAGAAAATTCTTAAGGATAACATAACATATTTGGCACTTCATTTCCATATTGAAGATTACAACAATCGAAACCTAATCGTAAACCTGTACAGATTGGAAAATGTAATTCCATTCAAATTATTCTTACACCCATAACTCAATAAAATGACAGTGATTTTTTTCATTTTTCATCCTGAATGTTAAACTAAACTAGTTTTTTTCAGTATTCATTTACATCATTTATGAATATTTTACATCATAATGTTCTATATCATTTTATTCCTGTTTCCAATTAAAGCATAAAATATATTGAAAAAAAGCAAACATTCTAGTAGAATAGCATGAATTCATTTTGATTTCGTTGGTTCTCGTCAGCTGCTTACAACCTGTGATATTTAAAATCATAATTACATAATGGGTTTAAATTACTTACATGAGATGGTTTGGTCGGAGGTTATATTGAAGACATTAGTATAGACAACCATTGGAAACCTGGAAGCACTGGACATATTAGTATAGTTTAGCCAGGGTGTAAATAAATTTAATAGACTGAATATTGCGAATATATACCATATGTAAAAGAACATTCTACAACATTAATTGTGACAACTGTTCAAACGGCTAGAAACAAGTGATTACATAATGAATAAATATTGATGTGAATAAAGTGAGAAGAGTTCAGTTGATAAAATAAGACCATTGATTTGAAAGACAGTTGAAATAAAACTCAATGATGTAATAAATGCAAGAAAGAGTTTAAAGAAAAAGAATATTAAGATACAGCAAAGGAATATTAGTCACCAAGGCAAGGAAAGATTAATAGCCATCTCCTTTTGAACACATAAATCAGGTTTCTGGCTCCTGATAGCAACGGCTTCAGCAAACTTCAGAAGACTGGAGTTTGGCTGTCTACTAATCACCTTGAACGATTGCAGGATATCGACCTGATGCCCTGTATCAAGGAGATGTTCAGTGATCGCACTGTTTAGAGTCTTTCTTTCTCTTGTTATGAGGCTTTTTGGAACATGTTCAAAAAATCTAAGATATGCCCTTCTTTCTGTTCGGCCAACGTAGCTGCTTTGGCAGGTACACGTAAATTTATAAATACAATTGGCGGTAACATAAAAAGGATGCTTATCAACCTTTTGGTTGAGTTATTGGACACGTTGTTTTATACAGAATTAGAAGTTTGGCCGCCGGATAAGTTTTGGCTAGCGCAGTATTCAATCTCCTGTTTATTGTGTTTGCAACATTATCACCTTTGAAGTTAAGATTTATAGTTATTGGTTTTTTATTGACCGTAATCACTTCAGTATTGTTTTCTTTAGGCATTTTATATTTGTCAATAAACTTTTGTGAGTAAAAGTTGTCTCGTAGGAATTTTTCCACGTTCATCAATTCTTCTTCCAGTTTGTCAGTGGTACATATCCTTTCTGCCCTAAAAAACAATGTTTTAACTAATGCCTTCTTGTAGCTGAGTAGACAAAAACTATTGAAATTCAGGTAAAGGCCATTCCAAGTACTTTTGCGATAAACCGAATGTTGGACTGTCCCATCTCCCCTTACGTTTTATAGCAACATCAGCAATAAAATATATAATAATACATATATAACTACTTAATCCACACCATTAGATTACATACCCTGGAAGATATTGTTTTTAATTCTTCAGCATGTTGTTGATGTAATCTTAAAATCGTTTCTTGATTTTTACATTGTTCTTCATTTAAATTATTTTCATGTTTACTAATTAATTCTTTACGTTCTAATTCACGTGCTAAACTTATTTCTGATAATTGTTCACGTCTTAATTCCACTTCTGTCATTGCTATACGTCTAGCTTCTTTAAGTTCAGTTTCAAGTTTTACAATATCTAATTTGGATAAATTTAATTCATTAGTCAATGTTTCAATAATTTGATTTTTTTCATTTTGAATCTGAAAATTTCATTTTAAAAAGTATACAATTTTATTGAACAATGAAAAATTCAATTATAAATATATTACTTATCAAAAAAGTTCTTTTTGTGGATATTATAGTAATTTTAATAGTTGAGATCATGAGTTAGTTGAAACTAGACCATCATGGAAATGGCTGTTCAGTGCTTCCAGGTTTTCCATGGTGACCTAACTTCGACTGACTCATGATCTCAACTATTGACATTTTTAATTTGTTTAGCTTTTTTGTTATTTTTATATGAAAACGAATGATCCGTTAAAAGAAAAGAAAACACTGGTTGTGATAGGATTTGAGTTTAAAGGAAATTAACCTTTATTCAATCTCAATAATCACATCTACCAAACCGTAATTAACAATTTACAAATCAATAATAAATATGCTTTTTTAGGATTTAAGTAATTATTAGCTAAGGTGACTTCTGTACGTCTAATAAATCTATCAACATGTAGATTAGAAAACTGTTTGATAAATAAATGTTAGTTCTAATTTAGTATGTGCTACTGATGTCGACAGATATAAGTAATATGTATCACCAATCTTAAGTGAAATACCTGACGGCAGAAGTCTAAAAAGATCAAAGAGAAGAGAGAGTGCTTGGAGTGGAAAAAACAGTGAACAGTCAATTCTGGGACAATTGTTTGACATTTTGCAGAATGAACAGTCAAGTTGAAACAATTGATTGCTACTTTGTAAATGAAGTATTTACTGTATGGTTTTCAGATTTTACTGAGATATTCTGTAATCTTGTGTTCAAATACATCTGATTGTCTTCACTTATGTTCACTACATAAATGTACGCATATTAAACATAAGAATTCACATATTTTAATTGGCGGTATTTGTAAAACGTCATTCTACTTAGCATAACTGACTGAAAGGAACTATGTATTAGCATTATTACAAATATACTTTGTCCATTAAGCTAAACAATAAATCGTTAACATAAAATATCTCATTGATAAACAATAGATTTTAACTCCGCCTGGAGTCCCTTTCGGGGGCTACCGCCGGTCCCAAGCCCGGATAAAGGATGAGGGTTGGGCATGAGGTTAGCGACCCCATCCCGTAGAAAACTAACTCGCTAAAAAACGATAACCAGAAAAAAACTATTCAAACCATTTAAACTCTGCCCTGGGAGTCAGAAAGTCTTCATTTAGAAGAGTTATGACGCCTCGTGGTTAAAGCCGAGTTTCTTCGGAAGTCACGAGGCCGATGCACCTTCTGACAACCAGAGCAACCATTTATTTAGGTACATGGAATGCTCGCACAATGTGGGAGACTGGGAGAGTTTTCCAAATTGCTGCAGAAATGAGGAGATACAATTTAGAGGTGCTTGGGATCAGTGAATCACATTGGACGCAAGTTGGACAGCAACGACTAGCTTCAGGGGAGCTGCTATTATACTCCGGACATGAAGAAGAAATACCCCACATACACAAGGAGTTGCATTGATGCTGCCCAAACACGCACAAAATGCACTTATAGAATGGAAATCTCATGGACCAAGAATCATCAAAGCCTCCCTCAAAACAAAGAAAGAGGGCATTACAATGAGCGTCATCCAATGCTACGCGCCTACCAACGACTACAATGAAGATGCTAAAGATCAATTCTACGATAGGCTGCGGTCAATCGTCGAGAAGTGCCCAACAAAGGACCTGACCATTCTGATGGGAGACCTAAATGCCAAGGTTGGAATTGACAACATCGGATATGAAGAGATCATGAGACGACACGGACTGGGAGAAATGTACGAAAATGGTGAGAGATTCGCAAACCTATGTGCCTTCAATAAACTGGTCATCGGTGGCACCATATTCCCATATAAACGCATCCACAAAACCACACGAATTTCACCGGATCACACTACGCAAAACCAAATCGACCATATCTGAATCAACAAAAGGTACAGGAGGACAATGAAGGACGTGAGAACCAAGAGAGGAGCTGATATAGCATCAGATCATCACTTGCTGGTCGCCAAGATGAAATTGAAACTCAAGAAGCACTGGACAACGAGGCAGACAATATCACAAAAGTTTGATACGGCTCTTCCTCGGGATACTGACAAACTCAACAAACTCAAGATAACCCTAAGAAACAAGTTCCAGGTCTCTCATGATCTACTCAATGGAGAAGGAACTACTATGGAGAGCAACTGGAAAGAGATAAAAGAGGCAATCACTTCAACATGTCATGAGGTTCTTGGCCAGAAGAAGCACCATCACAAGGATTGGATCACAGTCGATACACTAGATAAGATTCAAGAAAGGAGGAACAAGAAGACAGCAATCAATACCAGTCGAACAAGAACAGAAAAAGCCAAGGCACAAGCTGAATACACAGAAGTAAACAAGCAAGTGAAGAGGAGCATCAGAACCGACAAACGTAAATATGTGGAAGATTTAGCAATGACGGCGGAAAAGGCTGCCAGAGAAGGAAACATGAGACAACTGTATGACAACAAAGAGACTCTGGAAATCACCGTAAACCAGAACGATCAGTGAAAAGCAAGGAAGGCAAGATAATCACCAACATTGAAGAACAACGAAACGGGTGGGTAGAACACTTCAAAGAACTCTTGAATCGACCAGCCTCACTGAACCCACCCAACATCGAAGCAGCACTCACGGACCTCTCAATCGATGTTGGCCCACCAACAATTGAAGAGATCAGCATGGCTATCAGACAAATCAAGAGTGGCAAAGCAGCAGGACTAGACAGCATTCCAGCAGAGGCACTGAAAGCAGACGTAGCGGCAACTGCAAGGATACTCCAAACTCTCTTCAGAAAGATTTGGGATGAGGAACAGGTACCAAAAGACTGGAAAGAAGGACTTCTAGTCAAAATACCAAGGAAAGGCGAACTTAGCAACTGTGACAACTACAGGGGAATCACTCTTCTTTCAATACTAGAAAAAGTCTACAACAGGGTATAGTTAAACAGGATGAAGGACTCCGTAGACGCACAACTTCGCGACCAACAGGCAGGATTCCGCAAGGATACATCGTGTACAGACCAAATCGCAACTCTACGGATCATTGTGGAACATTCAATTAAATAGAAGATAGTCAATATCATACGGAATTCCTATGATGGATTAAACTTTAAAATCGTTCATGGAGGACAGTTGATAAAGTCGTTCGAAGTAAAGACCGGTGTCAGGTAAGGTTGCTTACTCTCACCCTTTCTCTTTCTCCTGGTGACTGACTGGATCATGAAGACGTCAACATCTGAAGGGAAGCACGGGATACAGTGGACATCTAGGATGCAGTTGGATGATCTAGACTTCGCAGATGATCTGGCTGTTCTATGGCATACGCAACAACAAATGCAGGCGAAGACGACCAGTGTAGCAGCAGCCTCAGCAGCAGTAGATCTCAATATACACAAAGGGAAAAGCAAGATTCTCCGATACAACACAGCATGCAACAATCCAACCACAATTGACGGAGAAGATTTGGAAGATGTAAAAACCTTTACATATTTGGGCAGCATCATTGATGAAAACGGTGGATCTGATGCAGATGTGAAAGCACGAATTGGAAAAGCAAGAGCAGCATATATACAAATGAATAATATCTGGAACGCAAAACAATTGGCAACCAACACCAAGGTCAGAATTTTCTATACAAATGATAAAACAGTTCTACTGTATGGGGCCGAAACCTGGAGAACTACGAAATTCATTGTCCAGAAGATACACGTGTTTATTAACAGTTGTCTACGCAAAATACTTCGGATCCGTTGGCCGGACACTATTAGCAACAACCTACTGTGGGACAGAACAAATCAGATCCCATTGGAGGAAGAAATTAGAAGAAGCGCTGGAAGTGGATAGGACACACATTGAGGAAAGCACCCAGCTGCGTCACGAGACAAGCCCTCACATGGAATCCTCAAGGCCGAAGGAGGAGAGGAAGACCAAAGAATACATTACGCTGGGAAATGGAGATAGACATGAGAAAAATGAAGAAGAATTTGATGGAACTAGAAAAGAAGTCCCAGGACAGAGTGGGTTGGAGAATGCTGGTCGGCGGCCTATGCTCCATTGGGAGTAACAGGCGTAAGTAAGTAAGTAAGTAAGTAAACAATATATTTTGCAAAATTCCAGCTGATATAGGCTCAGGTTGGTAACCTGGAGACTGATTATTCGAATTCTGTAATCACTAAAATTATGTTAACAAACAAAAAACGGTCTGTCAACAAAGATCGATTTAAATAATATAATTAATAATTAGTTCATCTTATACCTTAATTGATTTAATGGCTTTGGTTTCAATTTCTAAGTTCTATAATGACTAACTTTTTCTAATGTCTCTGAAATCAAAGCTAAACGGCTCATAGTACCATGTACACCTTACTCCGATAGTAAATAAAAAGTCTTATTTACTAATGTATTGAAGAAGATCCCAAGTGGGGACAATCGAATCCACTCGGACACAAAATTACAGAACATCTTAGTAAAATCTGAGAACCATACAGTAAACACCTAATTTGCAAAATGTCAATCAATTGTCTCAGACTTGCTGTTCCTTCATTTTCAAAGTAACCATTTACTGTTCTCAATCTCTGTTCTTCGATCTTCTTAACCTTCTACTTTTAGGCATTTCATTTTGGATTGACGATACGTACTACTTATATCCAGACATCAGTAGCACATACCACACCATCATACAACTTTGCTAAAGTTTGTACGCCCTACCAATGTCTATATCATAATTTTCGAGTATAAATAATTTGAAGTGACTCTATTTAACTAACTTTCAATTAAATTATACTTAATACCATAAATACAGGTAATAGAATTCTAATAGTATTTTTATATCATATACTTTCCTCAATTGTTTTATCACTTCATATAAAAATAGAATATGTTAATATGTTATAAACTTGTTTTTAATCATTATAAGCTAAAACAGATTAAATCATCAATATATATTAAATAGAACAAATTCTAAATAAGGTGGCGAAATTATAATTTATGGACGAACCATCCTGGTAAAAGATAAGAGATTTCATACACATAGTTCCCTTTATCATTTTGAAAAGAGCTAGATACTTTGTTCTTGCTCTTTTCATAAGATAAGAGGTCTTGAATTTTGGCGCGAAATTCACTCATCCATTTGGTTAAATAAACTTTTGGCATTATAGCTGATGTCAGTTCGTGATGAAAATCCTAAATATATTTCCTAACCTTAAACATCAACTGTAAATCATAATTCTAATTCGTTACACTACTTTATAACCCTTATTTAGTCCTTGTTATTAGGTCACTTTAGAGTCGCACAAAGGTCGTCCATAAATTGTGGTTTCACCGCTACTTATATATATATATATATATATATATATATATATATATATATATATATATATATATATATATATATATATATATATATAATTGGTCTATACAAATATTCGTCAATGTCACAACGAATAATTTGATTATTACCCTGAAGAAATTCAAACAAGTTTGCTAGACGAAACATTGAAATTATTTAAACTTTCAATTGCTGAGATTATACCAATTATAATTTTCAAATATATACTGAGTATTAAATTAATAACTGTTACATACGAAGAAATCTCTAATCAACGAATTTATCATCACTTTGTACAATCGTATTTATATGAAACTTTCTTTGTTAAAGCACTAGTTCTGTGAGGTAATGTCAACACGAGTAACCAAGATGATGTAATAGAAAGATTATAATACTAGATTATGTAATACAAACGATAACAATAGACTTGATAAATTAGTAACGAATTATAACTAAAATGTTTTTGTTACATTAATTAAAGTTCATAGAGGTATAAAAAATAAATAAAGTGATATGATTAGTTCAATGGTAGGGATCATGAGTCAATTGAAGCTAGCACACCATGGGGTACCTGAAAGCACTGGATAGCCATTTCGTCCTATTGTGGGACTCCTAAGCAGTGGGCATCCACGATTCCGCCTCGTAAGATTCAAACAGAGGGTCTATCAGTCTTGCGTGCGAGCGCTTAATCTCTAGACAACTGAGCTAGCATGCATCCAACAGTGTTAATGTCAAACACCAACCAATCCACAAAGTTGCGCCATCGTCAACTATTGTTTTCAGTGAGTTATTATCTCACAACTGACCCGCTTGAACTCCACTGGTCACGGCTTTTCATTAGAACTCTAGGATATACACCTTGAAGCCAGTCACTAGTGAGCATATGTTGAATGGTATCAGAAGGGGTTTTTTTGGAGATTGTAGCGATCTCAATAATTGAGATCATGATTCAATTTAAGCTAGACCACCATGGAAAATCTGGAAGCACTGGACGGCCGTTTTGACCTATTGTGAGACTCCTCAATTGACTCATGATCTCAAATATTGAAATTACTACAATCTACACAAACCCATTTCGATATTATAACTACTTATGAGTGGAATAGTGAGAATATGACGCATAAGTAAAGAGTGTAGTGCAGTAATAATAATAATGATAATGATAACAATAATACTTAAGGCCAAAGTAACGACAATGATAGGATGTACTTCTTTTATACGCATAGTTCTAGCTTGAGCTCATGGATGGTAAAAGCTTCGGTTGTTTTTAAAAGAGTTGAATACGAAGGAATCTCTTTTCAATGAATTTATTATCAAGCTGTACAATCGTATATATATATATATATATATATATATATATATATATATATATATATATATATATATATATATATAGGAAAATGTTTTTATTTTATTAAAATACTACTAATATAATAAATTAATAATACAACTTACATTTTCAATTTTTAATAATAATTCATTACGTATAATATTTTCTTTTTCTTTAAATATTATTTCTAAACGATTAAATTCATCTTGTTTAATTAGTAAAATAATTTCATCTAATTGTTGTTTTTTCCATTGTTTTATATAATTTAATAATTTCTCATTTAATTCATTTGTAAAATATGTTTGAATATAATTTGTTTTATTGAATGTATCATTTAGTTTATTATATTTTAATTGTTTTTTTTGTAATTTTGTTATGATCGTTAAAAAATTATTTTCTTTAGATTCATATGTATTTTTTAATTTTTCAATAATTTTATTTAATTTAGTTATTTCACACTTTAATTGATTAATTATTTCTTGATATTTAATCTAAATTAATAAAAATCAAAATAAATAAATTAAATGATTTATTGATTATTTTTTTATATCAGAAAGGAGTTTTTTGTGGTTGAGATCATGAGTTAACTAAAGCTAGACTACCATGAAAAACTTGGAAGTACTGGATCTAGTCTGTTGTGAAATATTAGATCACTAAAGACAATGGTGGATGTGTCGGTCAATTTTGTAGATTAGTTGAAGTTAGACATTAACACTACTGGATGCCGACTAGCTCAGTGGTCTAGAGGTTAAGCATTCGCGTGCGACACCGATAAGTCCTGAGTTTGGATATCGTGAGACAGAATCGTGGATGCACACTGCTGTAGTGTCCCACAATAGAACGAAACGGTCGTCCAGTGCTTCCAGGTTTTCTATGATGGTCTAGTTCCAATTGACTCATGATCTCAATTATTGAAATTATTTTGTTATATCCTAATGAAGACTAAATTACGGGTAACTTCTGAGAACTACTAATGGACTAATATTATATATATATATATATATATATATATATATATATATATATATATATATATATATTCCCATTGTATAACTATTCAGTAACTAGATTGTGTACATTTATATTCCTCTTATTATAAGCTTTATTTTGACCTATAGATTATAGTTATACGATTTACTGTTCCTGAGTTATGTTCAGTTTATTGATTATAGTTTCCTACGTTCACAGCCACATTTTGGCTTGGTCTTGTATAAATGTTATTTTTTAGTTTATGATGTGATGCGGTTTGTTTGTCTGGTATCTAAACCAAGTATGTTTGAAAAAAATGATTCACATACTGAAAGCTGTTATTGGTATTCTGGACTCAACTGGACGGATCAAACGAACAAAGGACGAGTAAGGACATTAGGTTGCTCATACCGGTCGAATATTATTGGTTTAGCACAGTACTGAGATTGAAGTCGAATTGTTTACTGTAGTTGGAATGTTTCCCATAGACAATTAAAATCTCTTGCAGTCTTGCTATTCTATATTCAGAGAGGGTTCGAAACATTTAATTCTAAAGGTAGTGAATCTCAACCTACTCTATAGAATTCCATTGTAAGTGATAAGGTTGATGCAGACATAGCTATTCACAAAAACACCGAGGGAGAGAGATGAATATCAGTCATCCTTTGAGTTCTGTGGACACTCTCAAGTTAACAAGACCACTACTAGCACGGCTTATTTTCCAGATTCATCTAGAAGGGATATTCTCCCAACACATCAATAACATTCACTTTTACGACTAACAGTTAGTACAAATTTACTCATTTTTGTCAAGGGAATTATATTGACGGAACAGAAAAAGGGAGCCAATTTATAGTGATTGAACACGTCCAAGAAAGCTTATGTTTAGGAGATGCTAAGACCTCCATTAGTACGATTTGTTGATACTTGGTTAACATAAATCATTAGGTAGATACCTTAAAATTCTTAAAGGTGACTTATAAACAACCGATATCTTGTCTTCCCAAGTCTCTTGAAACCCAATTTCTGTAGTTTAAAATATTTCTGGTAATCAGTCCTCTGTTACCCTGCCTACATAACCCTTATTTGACTGAGTCCTTTTTAATCTATTGCTTTCATTTGATCAAATCATTTTTTTACTCTTTTCCTAGTTATAATTAAGCGACATGGCTTAACTTATCCATCAATATCATTAATCTCTGTTTATTTATTTCATGGTGTAATTAGCTTCAGAATTTTTTGTTCCTATCTTAATCAATGTTCCAAAACCTAGACATATAACCAAATAACTTCATTTGCAAAGTTCTATAAAAAATATAAACTAATAATTTCCAGATATTCATTAGTCAATAGTTTTATAACACAATAGTTCGACACCAAAATACAAGTAGTCCTTTGATAACTGCATATATATATCATACACTATGAAAGACTGACACTTATTACTCGTACAGCCTTACGACTTTTCAATTAGAAGTAACTGAGTTAAAAACTTTAATCAACAAGTTTAAAAGCACTATAGTTTAATCAACAAAATGATCTGTTAAACAAGCCGGTAGCGATTGAAATCGGTGAGACTATAATTTGTGAACAAACCAATCAGATTTACGATAACAAGTCTTGAATTTTGGCGCAAAATTAATTCATTCACTTGGCTAAATAAGTAGAGTTTTGGCATCATGGTTGATGTCAATTCGTGATGAAAATCCTAAATCTAATTCCTAACCCTAATTATCAACCGTAAATCATAATTCAAATTCTTCATACTAGTTTATAACCTTCATTTAGTCGTAGCATAAAGGTGAACATTCTCATGGTCTTTTCAGTGTCGCTTAAAGATCGTCCACAAATTATAGTCTCATCATGACATCTAATAAATATTTATTATGAATGGGAATTTGATGAAATCCTAGAAAACATGAATAAACTTCTGATAACTAATTAAATGTACTAAACACATGTTTCTATATTTTATTTTAAATTTATCATGTAAAAACAAGTTTACTTCATCATTTGAATTTAATTCTTTGGTTTCTTTAATAATTTTTTGTAAAGCTGTAATCTCATCACTTTTAATTAATAAACATTTTTCATAACCGCGTGTTTCAGCTTCCTTGACTTCTGTAACTAGCTGACGTTCATACGACAAACGACTCTCTTCCAGTTTTGTATTAAACTTGAAAAGAGAATAAATAAAAAGGTTTTTATTAGGATTTATTTTATCTGAATGTTATGTGACAAATAAAAGTTTATTGATGATACTAAACAAAATCATTACGGAAGTTTAATGTAATGACGACTAATATCTTCTATTGCACCTTGGTAGCCTCTTCCCTAACAAAAGTTGCCTTTTTCATGTTTTTTTTATTGTGACAGAAAGGAGAATCATGGTCAGTGAAATAACTTGATGTTGCTCTATCGATTTCCATGAGTGAACTTTTAACTCTTTAAGCAAGGAATATTTCACCAGAAATTTTAGCTATCTTTACTACGTATTGTTTACTTGAATCTTCCCATTAGTGTTTAGGACTGCAATCGATCAGTCTATTGTTAGCATGTGTACATCCTGTGCGGATTGCCTCGATATCGCCTTATGTCACAAGCATTATAAGCAAAGATGAATGATGGCTAGCAGTGGAATTCAGGACGCACGTTTCGTCCTGTTTGGGACTCGTGAGTTGGATGTATCTGAACCTCAGAATTGATGTTCACTCCTGGATTCAAACCCAATATCGTTAGCTCCAAACGCCATCGCGTTATCCACTTAGCTAGTGAGTCCTGATAGCTACTTGCTTTTGCAATGGGAAGATTCAAGCAAACAACAGAAAATGAATTTAAACTTCATCCCACTGCACAAGCTAGCAACTATCAGGACTCAGTAGCTAAATGGATAACACCATGGCGTTTGGAACAGACGGTACTGGACTTGAGTCCCGGAGTGAACATATACTCTGGGATGAAGGTGCATCCAGATGACGAGTCCCAAACAGGACGAAATACGCGTTCTGTGTTCCACTGCTAATCACCATCTATCTTTGCTTATCTTTACTATGTTTGACGTTAACCGTGACCTAAAGGTATCTCGATTAATAATTATCACTGTTAGAAAAATGTTAATTACTTCATACCTTAATGATATGGTGGTTAATTCAAAGGGTCAATAAGTTAATTGTAACAAACCTTACATTCCACATAGATTTCATAATATCAAGTGCTCTTATTTGTATATGAAAACATTGAACATGGTACAACTATAACTGAACGTCAGGGATATTAAATACGAATTCCTGGCTAAAACTAGAATGATGAAATTAATTTCTATTAAAACCTTCAACGAATAGTTCTAATATTAAGAAAAAAATACCTCAAAGTCATCATTACATATCCTAATCTAGGGTTTACACCAACCGAAGTGGAGTAATATTAAAGTCCAAAGACAGTTTTATCTTTGATAACCTATTCAGGATTGTAACTGTAAATATTTATTTCATTAACTACAAGATAAACACTGCCAATTATTTCTTCAAAAAAATAGTTAACTTGATCAAAGTTTATATTCTGTTGAATGACTCGAAATCATTTTAGATGTTAGTCATATCTGAAATGGGGTTAATTCATTTTTTTCAAATCAAGTCATATTTTATGAAAGAATATTTTATCGGAAAATCTTAGATCATTCTTTTCCGGAAGATATTCCGGTGACTTGATTGTATTCAGAAGTAAAACATGTATGATCGACTTTCATAATATTAATGAATGGTTATTCTGTAATTTTACTCCATAAACTGATTTAATTAGCTAAATATTGAAAACCAAAAAGGTATTGGGCATCCATTTCGTCATAGAGTAGAATTCCTCAACAGTGATAATCCTCTATATATGCATCAACAAAACATTGATTATTTATCAATTTCAATCGTTCTTGTGCTGTTGTCTACTTACTTACCTACTTATTTACGCCTGTTACTCCTCGTGAAGGAGCATATGCCGCTCACCAGCATTCTCTATCCAACCCTGTCCTTGGCAATCCTTTCCAGTTCTTATTCATCCTTTTCATATCTGCTTCTATTTCCCGACGTAATGTGTTCGTTGGCCTTCCTATTTTCCTCTTCTCTTCAGGATTCCAAGTTAGCGCTTGTCTCGTAATGCAGTTTTATGATTTCCTCAATGTATGTCCTATCCATTTCCATCGTCTTTTCCTAATTTCCTCTTCAGCTAGAAGTTGGTTTGTTTTCTTCCACAAAAGGCTGTTGCTGATGGTATCCGGCCAATGAATGTTGAGTATCTTGCGCAGACAACTAGTAGTAGTTCTTCAAGTTTCAGTTCCGTACAGTAGAACTGCCTTGACGTTCGTATTGAAGATTCTGACTTTGATATTGGTTGAAAGTTGTTTTGAGTTCCATATGTTCTTCAAATGAAGGAATGCCGCCTTTGCTTTGCCAATCGTCGCCTTGACGTCTGCATCTGAGCCTCCTTGTTTATCGACGATGCTTCCCATGTATGTGAAAGATTCTGCATCTTCCAGAGTTTCGCCATCAAGAGTGATTGGATTGCTGTTCTCCGTGTTGTATTTGAGGATCTTGGTTTTCCCCCATTGTGTATGTTGAGGCCTACTGATGCAGAGACTGCTGCTACTCTGGCTGTCTTTATCTGCATTTGTTCGCATATATGCGATAGGAGGGCTAGGTCATCTGCGAAGTCCAAATCTTCTAATTGGTTCTGAGCTGTCCATCGTATGCCGTAGTTTCCCTCAGATGTCGAGGTCTTCATAATCCAGTCAACCACCAGAAGAAACAGGTAGTGAGAGAGTAGACAGCCTTGTCTTACTCCGGTCCTTACTTGGAATGCCTCAGTCAGCTGTCCTGCATGCACTACTTTGCACTGTAGTCCATCGTATGAGTTCCGGATAATGTTGACCATCTTCTCAGGAACTCCGTAGTGTCGAAGAATTTTCCATAACGTCCTCCTATCTACACTGTCAAATGTCTTCTCATAATCAATGAAGTTGATGTAGAGTGACGAGTTCTACTCAATTGATTGTTCGACGATGATCCGTAGTGTCGCAATCTGGTCTGTGCACGACCGGTCCTTACGGAATCCAGCTTGTTGATCTCAAAGTTGAGCGTCTACTGCGCCTTTCATCCTGTTCAGTAACACTCTGTTGAAGACTTTACCTAGTATTGACAGTAGTGTAATGCCTCTGTAGTTTTCACACTTGCTCAGATCTCCTTTCTTTGGAATCTTGATGAGGTGTCCTTCTTTCCAATCCATCGGCACTTGTCCCTCCTCCCAAATCTTCTTGAATAGAAGATGAAGCATGCTTGTAGTTACTTCGATGTCTGACTTCAACGCTTCAGCTGGTATATTGTCAGGTCCTGCTGCTTTCCCGCTCTTGATTTGTCTGATGGCCATTCTGATTTCTTCGGTCGTTGCTGTTGTCTACTCATAATGAAAATTAACTATTAAACAATAATTAACTAAAGATCAGTCTAAATTAACTTATGAATTAAAGTTATTCAGTCAATTCACACTTTCAGTAGTTATTTTATCACGCTTTTCTTACCAAATACGGTTAATTTTATCAAAAGTTGACATTTTTTTATTATATTTAAAAGTTATAATGGAAAGAAATGGCCTGTATACCCGCACTTATAATTAAGGAATCATAATAATTTTAAAAATCAATAATTATGAAATACGCCATTATATTGAATACTATTTTAATAGTCTCATTTTATCAACGAAGTAAAATAGGAGTATATTATGCGTATTAAGGCGCTTTTAAAACTTAAAATTACCCAATATATACGTACGTAAGCTTGGGACTTGACTTTAAATTGTTGAATTACAAGCGAAACCCTAATTGAGTTATTCAAACTAATAGCCATGTTGCAACTTGGTCGATAGAATTTACTTAGCATGAAATGATAAATAAAACATAAGATTTGTCACTACCTAGTAAAAAGTCAATTTTATGTATTTCAGTCCTGTGGGAGTCCAGTTTTGGTCTTAGTAGCTCTGTGGTAACGTCTCTGACTGTGAAAATAAGTGGCGTGGGTTCGAATTCATCATGAAACACCAATTCTCCTAAAATTACAGTCATGCCTTACCGATGAGTATCAACTAACAGAAAACCTAAGTTCGAAATTTTCTTCTGATTACTTGATATCATTTAACAGAAGTAATTGCTTATTTAGGCCTGGTTAACATGGTCAAATGAGTTAAAGTTTAGTACATCAATAAGTTTTTGTCGAATAAATTTCATAATTTATTCTTTGTAGTAGTTACTTAAATTAATAGTTATAATATGTGAAAATGATCTTGCATCCTTATCCCAATAAAGATAAGTGATTTTGAATATGGTCAGTCAATAAAAGAAATAACTAGCTTGAAAATGTAAAAGTTAGTCGTAAAGAAACCTTGCTGATTAATTTTAAAGGTAATTGTTCATAGAAGTACGATTTAACTGCATTATTAATGAAACACGCATACTTTTTAAGATCACAGAGATGTCTAGAAAATATCGTTATTCTTTTCGAGATACAAAACAACTTCATTTCAGATGAGGTGCTTATGGATATCAATGAGTGTGTGATAATAACTATCAATGAATCTCTTGCAAGTTCTAGTCAATGAGATCAATAAAGACAGTAAGGAGTCATTGCTTCAGAATTACCGTGAAGTTTATTAAAGAATACATCTTTAAATACATAAGACTATAAGTCATTAGATCAAATATTTCAAATGACTGAAATATGTTACAATACCGTTGTCAATTAATAAATGTCGTTAAACTTTGACCACATTTTCTCTGAATGATTGTATTTAATGACTCGGATAATTAGTTGTACTACTTTCTGACAAATACATGGTTTTAGATCAACAAATCTTTATTTTACAAACTTTACAGTATATTAGTATCATTCCTTATAAAATATTCTCAATTTGTGACGTTACAATTATCCAATCTCTATTTCTATTTTTCAAAACATCGCTGTAAGTCCTTGGAACCTCGGTCATCCTCTACCATTGTGTTATATTTTACCTAAATTGTTTTCACAGACAATCAGACAATCCGTTCATCAGTCACTATCTGGGCAGCAAATCTGCAACTGGAAATCACACGACACTCCCATACACTAAATAATATTATAAACCCAGGAGGTCAGTGGTTGTTCTGGCCTTTCATTATTCTTACAGCTTTTATTGTCGTCATTGAAACCCACGATTCTCTCGAAAATATCATTCCTCTTTAACGCATTATCTCCATAAACTTCACTCATCACTGAATAGATTTCCTTGAAGTTTTTCTCATGCTTTACCATTAAGTATAGTAGTAGCTTATTTTGTGTATCTACCGGACAAACCATGTACATAAACCTAAAATTACAGAGTAGATCATCTAAAATATTCTGTCAACAATACCTCATCTTTAATTTTTTCAAGGTTACTTTCATACTGTTTTTCATTATTTGTTCTTTCTAATTCCATTGCACATATACGTTTAGCGTGATCAGAGCGAATTTGTTTTAATTCTTGATCATAATCTTCAAGACACACGTTATACTTTGATTCTAATGTTTTATATCTAAATAAAAATGAAAAGAATAGATACGAAATAAATTATCAGTCAATTAATGAATGATAATTTCTATCTTGGAATCATAACTTCATGAAAAAAGACTCAAAAGAACTAGAGGGATGTTTCAGCCTAGTTTTCAACTCTCAACTAGTAAACACAAAAGCTTAAGATTATATTACAAAAGGATCTCTTCCAACAACTGGATAGTACACCTTAAATTACACTACTTATCTGGTCCTTCAAGTGATATCAAGTTCCCATAGTTGTTATATCCGCACGAAGAATAAATAAATGGTAAGTACTAAGAATTATTTATGAACTATTATTACATATATACGTATTGGATACTTATTAAGTAACCTAGTTATATATATATATATATATATATATATATATATATATATATATATATATATAGTACTTAAAAGAAGGGTGTGTATCTGTTTCACTACTTTATTTATTTACCTACCTATTGGTTAATTCATTTAAATCACATTGAAGTTGTTCTGTTTTTTTCAATGTTTCTTTTTCTTTTTCTGTTTTAACGTTTAATGATTCTTGTAATTCATTTCTTTCTGTCATGATATCTGTTAATTGTTCTTTTAAACTTTTAATTTGATTGTGCTTTTATTAATGAATTTAGTTAATAAAAACAAAATAGAAAATAAAATTTAACTTATATATATAAAACTTGTTTTTAGTAAATGTATCTTCAAACTTATGAGTGAAATCTCTAGAGATTAGAAATTACTAAACCATTTTATATATCCGAGTACATTTCCCCCATTCAATTTTTTTCCTAGTCATTCGACATATTTATATTAAACATGTTTTTTTCAAATTATTAAAAAATCACAAATATTATGATTACTCAATATTGTTAGAAGGGGGTTTTGTAGAGATTTTAGTAAGTTAATAATTGAATTCATAAGTCAATTAAGGCTAAATCATCATGAAACATCTGGATGGCCGTTTCATCCTAGCGTGGGACTCCTCATAAGTGTGAATCCATGATTTGAACCTAGGATCTATCGGTTTCGCGAGCGAACGCTTAAACTTTAGACAACTGAGCTGGCCGGCATCCAGTAGTGTTAATATAAAAATATCTAGCTTCAACGAATCCACAAAATTGAGAGACACATCCACTATTATCTTCAATGAGTTACTATGTTACAACAAATTCTGTCGAACTCCACTGGTCACGGCTTATCACTAGAACTCCAGGAAATAACTCTTGAAACCAGTCACTAGTGAGCACATGATGATTGTTATCAGAAGAGGGTTTTGTGGAGATTTTAGTAAGTTGAAAATTGAATTCATGAGTCGATTGAAGCTAGATCACCATGTAAAACTTGGAATTACTGGACGGCCGTTTCGTATTATTGTGGGACTCTTCAGCAATGCCCATCCACGACCCCAACCCGCAGGATCCGAACACAGAACCTATCAGTCCCGCGCGCGAGCGCTTAATCTCTAGATCATTGAGCTAGCATCCATTGGCGTTATTGTCTAACTTCAAAAAATTTACGAACTTGCGGCACTGTCCATCATTGTCTTTAGTGAGTTACTATCTCACAACAGACCCGTTTGAACTCCCCTGGTCACAGTTTCTCGCCAGAACTCCAGAAAATTCCTCTTGATGTTGATCAATAGTGAATACATTGCGGGATTTTGTGGAGATTTTAGTAATTTTATGTTTAATTTCATGAGCCAATTGAAGCTAGATCACCATGGAAAATTTAAAAACAATGGACGACCTTTGGATGCCCGCTTAGTGGCTTAGAGGTTAATCGTCCGCTTGCGAAATCGATATGTCCTAGGTTCGAATCCCGCGGGTGGGATCGTGGATGCGCAGTGCCGAAGAGTTCCATACTAGGATGAAACGGTTGTATAGTGATTTCAGGTTTCCCATGGTGGTCTAGCTTTAACTGGCCCATGAATTAAACTATTTTATACAATATTGATTTGAACCAAATATATGATGAAAATTCACTTCAGCTATGTAATAAAATACTTTTAAAAATTCAGATATATAAACGAAAAATATTCCGTACAATTAATTCTCTTCAGATTCCAATTATTAATCTCATAATTTCACTTAACATATAAATTTATTTACTCTAACAATGCATATTAGTCATCAGGACAGTATGAATTTTATTTTATTTTACAAGTAATTGGAAAGTATCAGTATGGGGTTGTGGAGATTTTTAAGTACTTTTAATTGAGATCATGAATCGATCGACGTTAGACCACCAATGGAAATTTGGAACAGAGCGACCATATTCCATTGTCTAAGGTAGATACCTGACTACGATTAGCTGTAATATAAAATGATGTATTTGCCTTAAATCTAACCACTTTTGAATATTCAATTGTAGAACTTAGTGAATTTATTTAAATAATTATTCTGACAATAATTTTTCAGTAATTTACAAATGTAATAATAATTAAAATAACAAACTGTATAACTTTAACTTACCTGTAATTCCATTTTTGATTCTAGTTCTATAACAAAGGATTTATTTATTTCCAGTTCTTTAAAAGTAGATTCATTTTTATTTTGTAAATCTTTCAATGTTTTCTCATGTTCTTGTATAAGAAATTCACGTTGTTCATTAGATTGTTTCAATAAATTTTCAAATTGTTTATTCATTACTGACTGTAATTGATTCATCTATATAACAAGAAAAATGCATATTTTTGAACCAATAATATAGATCTTCATTTAAATTGTATGTGTAAATAACCTATAGACGATTATTCTCTACATGAATTTGTAACTTACATCAGTCAAGTTAAAGTATGTTCACAATGACATTAATTACTTACTTATGCCTGTTACTCCTCGTGGAGAAGCATAGGCTGCTCACCAGCATTCTGCATCCAACCCTGTCCTTTCAAGCTCTTTCCAGTTCTTATTCATCCTTTTCATATCTGCTTCTATTTCCCGACGTAATGTGTTGTTTGGCCTTCCTATTTTCCTCTTCCCCTCAGGATTCCAAGTCAGGGCTTGCCTCGTGATGCAGTTTGATGATTTGCGTAATGTATGTCCTATCCATTTCCATCGTCTTTTCCTAATTTCCTCTTCAGCTAGAAGTTGGTTTGTTTTCTTCCACAAAAGGCTGTTGCTGATGGTATCCGGCCAATGAATGTTGAGTATCTTGCGCAGACAACTAGTAGTAGTTCTTCAAGTTTCAGTTCCGTACAGTAGAACTGCCTTGACGTTCGTATTGAAGATTCTGACTTTGATATTGGTTGAAAGTTGTTTTGAGTTCCATATGTTCTTCAAATGAAGGAATGCCGCCTTTGCTTTGCCAATCGTCGCCTTGACGTCTGCATCTGAGCCTCCTTGTTTATCGACGATGCTTCCCATGTATGTGAAAGATTCTGCATCTTCCAGAGTTTCGCCATCAAGAGTGATTGGATTGCTGTTCTCCGTGTTGTATTTGAGGATCTTGGTTTTCCCCCATTGTGTATGTTGAGGCCTACTGATGCAGAGACTGCTGCTACTCTGGCTGTCTTTATCTGCATTTGTTCGCATATATGCGATAGGAGGGCTAGGTCATCTGCGAAGTCCAAATCTTCTAATTGGTTCTGAGCTGTCCATCGTATGCCGTAGTTTCCCTCAGATATCGGGGTTTTCATAATCCAGTCGACCACCAGAAGAATGAGGAATGGAGAGAGTAGACAGTATTGTCTGACTCCGGTCCTTACTTGGAATGCAATGTCGGCTGTCCTCCATGCACTACTTTGCACTGTAGTTCGTCGTATGAGTTCCGGATAATTTTGAAAACCTGGAAGCACTGGATGACCGTTTCATCCTGTTGTGGGACTCCTCAGCAGTGCGCATCCACGATCACGCCTCGCTGGATTCGAACCCAGGACCTATCAGTCCCTTCTCATATCAAAATTTTTTTATTATAGAGAGAATTCTGATATTTTAAGGCTTTAGTCACTGTAATATCAAATGAAAGATTAATTATTGTATTACTACAATAAAATTTATGGTGTCAAAGAAAATCTTATTCAACTATGATAGTTTGAATTGAAATCAACAATCAGCTATGTTTAATTATCCATAGATAAAAAAGATACCTTACTACTGAATCGCATCACACATAGTCTCACTTAATCTATATGTAATCTCATACTACAAGTTGCTTTAATAATTAGATTATTTAGTGTTTTGAATACAATAAATTAGAAATTAAATGTTCAAGTTTCGACTTGATTTTGAGATAATATACATCATGAAATGGCTTCCGATTATAAATCATTAAAAATCAGAAAGCCATGGGCAATCGCTCTACCTTAACTCGGAACTCTTCAGTATTAAAGAAAGATGATTTTAATGGGCATCGAACCCAGGATCTTCAGTAATCGTAATAATCATATTGGCTAATCTCAACAAATAATCAAAATAAAAATTAATATTTAGGTTTTTTTATGGACTTACTTTCTCTTCAGAGCTACGTTTAATTTGATCAGCATTGTTGACTGTATCAGATAATTGATTTTCTAGTTTATCTATTGCTTGACGAAGTTCACGATGTTTCAGTTCAGCAGCTTTTTGTACAGCAATTAATTCAGCATTTTTACGATTCATAATTTTTGCTAGTTCAGTTTCGTTTTCTTTTCTAAGTTCAATCAAGCGTTCATAAAATTCTGCTTCTATTGCTTGTGTTCTTTGTAAAATCTTCCAAAGCGAAAAATATGTAATAAACTTTGATTTTAAATTTATTATCGTTAGAGAGAAGCAGAAAAGAGATATATAACAGTGAAATAGTTATTTTTGGTGAATTAGTCTGTTTTATGACGTGTTTTATAGTGTTTATTATAAGTCACCACTTTTTTAATTGTTGGTTGTAGCGACGATACATTTTGTTGTTCATAAATTATGATCAGTTAACTATGAAGAAGTTACTTGTATTTATGACAAAACAATTACCCCATACCTGTCAATTACACTGTAACACCGGCAATGGCTAGAAGACATTCAAAATCTACACATGAATTGATTTGGTAAATTTTTAGTCAATTATGCGTCAAATCTAATTTTGACCATGATTATATAAATGAGTCGATAAAACGTCTGCAGTATCACTTTGGGTCCACAGAAATGTCGAAACGTTCAGCAAGCTGACTTCAAACCCTGATTACCTCACGTGTTCTATCAAAACATTCTGTCTTCTAACTGACTGATAAGTACATGAGATAATATAAAATTTCAATATATGGACTGATTCAAGACTACACTCTTTGAAATTACACGAAATCAAGAAAATATTCTTTTAGATAGTGAATAAATGAATATTCAGCGATTAGTTGTCTTAGTATGTTTAGTGATGAATCGAAACGAGTCGCTGTTTCATAACTCAATACTTTTACATACAATGTTAAGAGTAGTTGATTTTTAATGTCTTTAATGAGTTCAATTCCGATTTCACTGTAATATAATAATGCTTTATACAGAGAATAAATATTGGCACTCACTAATACTATAGCAGCAACTATAATATAACATTCACAAAGTTTCATTTACAACTTCTGTCGAGCGATTTCTACTATGAACCCCGTACCTACAAATTACTCCTGCAATTTAAATTAAACTTAAATTTGTAACAAATGGAAAGGAGGCTTCTAAATAGAAAGTAAATTTTACCCAACCATTGTGAACTAAACTTTTTCAAAACCAGAAAATTAAAAAACTTGTTCTTTACATACCTTCCTGCTTTCATATTACTGCGATTAATTCAAGTCCACCTACGTTTACTTAAAAGCGCCCTAAAAGCACTTTACGGTTTATTGAATAAAAAATGATTCACACGTTCATTATTATGAATACATCTTTAATTGGACAATTTCATTTATTTAGTACAATCCCTTAAAGGGCAACAACTTTCCATAGAACGATTAAGGAAGTAGCTTTAATTCGGAGAAATAGAATTCATTTATATTTTTCAACATACCTCCTTCTCTTGAAGACGAACGATGGTTTTTCGTATGTTTGGTAGTTCATAATTTTCTGTTTTTCTTATGTATTCTGAGGACTAATAGGGTAAGTATGTTAAAAAATTGTTAATTTATTTCATTGACAAATACACGAACTTATCTAATTGCTTAATAGTGTTTAAAATCTGTTTTAAACTAAAGTCTATATGTGACAGAAGAACATTTAAAAATGCAAACCCTGATATCGTATGCTTTAAGTTCTGTAAATGTTGAATACTCCTTTTTTGGAACCTCAAGCCGTCCAACTTCGACAGAAATTCGTAGGTTTTTGACACTGTTTCACTGGAGCTCCTTACAGAAGTCCAAGACTCAGATATTAAGACTACCATAAACTTAGTTGTAACAATTTTTAAAGACTAAAACAAATGTCGAATACACCAATCAATTTTCTCAGTTGGATGATAGCTTGAAATAGTTTTGTATCTAAAAACTTGCCACTTTACAGTCAAATATTTGAAACTAAAGAATTATTTTAGATAACTTTATTAAGCAGTTTCAAAGTTAATTTTATATTTGACAACGACATCTAGCAAGACGACAAAGTCCCTTTTGGTAGACTGTTAACCTTAAAGAGTGGCATCTGAACAAACTACAGACATTCTCCAAACTATATCTCTCATTTCGAAAACCAAGTAAATTCACTTAAAGTTAATCTCTATTTAAACTTGTTACATATTAATTTATGCTACTGGCTATCAAAAAACCGTCTGAGATTTTACTTGATTTTTTTGCGTTAAAAGCTTATTTTGGTCTTGATAGTCTTGTCTTACTCAGTAGAAAATAAACCAACCCTTTAAAAAATTGTTTACAATACTCTAAATTTCATAAAAACCTTAAAATTAGAAGAAAATCTGAATGCAAAAATGAAGTCAACAAAACGAAGCAAAGCGCATCAAGTAACATGACATGCATAGTCAAGATTGACTAATTAAAATCACTGGACATTGAGTCACAAATCATTGTTAAAGAACAAACCAATGAAAGCTAAGACAATCGCTTTGTTCAGGCTAACAAGCTTTCATGAAGATAAACCCATTACATCTCTCATCATTTAGTTTATAACCCTCAGAACTCCAGATTTGACATTGCTAAGTAGGTTAGTTCATTTAAATACACAAACTGTTATGTTAAATGGCGAATGCAAAGTAGTCTAGAACCATTTTTCGACGGTTGTCATCGACGTATCTTCTATTGTGATGTATTCATCTGATCTCAGAATTCACAAACTTTTAATGTAACACTTTATTAGGTAATTATTAGAGCATGATCAGTAAAATGTCAATAATACCTAGATAGATTATAAATTTGCTTTAATCGTTACTATATTAGACGACAAATCACTGATCTTTAGACAGTCTACTAATACTCTAAGCTGTAGTTTGAAGTTTCTACCCAGCTTTTCTCACTATGAACATCCAGTAGGTTGTAATGATAGTTATATAAACCATATCTTCCTTTAAATAACAAGACTCCTATATTCACTTGCCATCAAAAACATATCATAGTATTGGCGAACTGTGGTGTTTGAATGAACTAATGATTGCTTTGTACATGTTGAATGCCTGATTTCGAATTCTAAATACAGTACATTCGTTCATGCTTATCTAGTAATTCTTGATCCAGTTACGTTATTTCTGGGATTATTAGTTCATACTATAATTCAAATACTTCTAATTATCATACAAACTTACCTCTGACGCATTTTTTCTTATGCTTTTTGCGCTTGTGTTTTCGAGCTCGTCATCTGTTGAACAAGTACCTGATTCCTCCTCCACACATTTCTTATTTTGATCTTCATCAACATCCTCCTTTTCATTTACATTACGATCACCAGACTTGGATGAATAGTCCTTTTTATCTAAACTCAAGCCCTGGAATACGTTCTTTATATTATCATCTAATAATTCTATTTAGCTTTAATGTAAATTTCATTACTTCTATTGATCTCATCCATCTCTCCTTTTAAATTTCGGTGATCGTCAGACCTCTTGATTTTGAATATTCCTCGCGAATAAAGAAGTGGGGCTTGTCTTGGTAACTTTTTACTGGGCATCACTTTTCTTGACCGACATAATGAGGGGCGTTTAGATGTTAACTGAGTTTGATCCTTCGCAAAATCCGTCCTAATCCTTGACTTAATGGACTCCGTATTCATACCTGACTGAATATAATTAGATGTGTCCGTCTGGAAAATAATACAAATTCTACTGAGATCACGATTCTAAAACTACAATACATTGGTGCGTAAACGTAAATATGCATACATATACATACATATGTTATGCCTGTTAATGTTAATATATATGAAATAATTCTGCACTGATAGTTGTGACTATTAATCGTTCAATCGTACAATTTATGCATACACTAAAATTATTGAGCGATTCATCAAAAGGAAACGAATTATGTCAGTCAGTCAGCTGCAATGTAGGACCAGGCATGTATATGCATCGGTCCAAGTTGCCATACCGCATTAGCACAACAAGATGAACACCGGATTCATAAGAGTAGTTAATTCAGTGGTGGTAATATATAGAAGAAAGATTGTGTATAAGGAGATAGTAAAGGAAGAAAGAATTAGTTCCTAGACAGATATGAAGCGATTTTAATCTCTTAATTTAAGGAAGACAAAGAGTGTATACACCTACGCAATTGTGATCGATTCTGAACCATGTCACACACAGTCTCCAATCACTGGTTACGATAGTCATGCGGACCCCAACCAAGTAGTCTGCATCTACCAACATGGCTCAGCCCAGAAGTTAGTGACTTCAAGCACTGATGCCACGTTTTGGTTTGGCCACCCCTCACTTTCTTCCAATTATCCCTAACACCGGTTACCATTGCGCGTCGTGGTAATCGGTGTTCAGGCATACGCAACACGTGGCCCAACCATCTCAGTCGATGAAGATTCATAACCTCATCAACTGATTTACCATCATTCCCTAATACCCTGCGTCTAACCTCACTATTACTTACCCGGTGAGCCCAGCAGATGCGAGCAATATTTCTAAGGCACCTGCGGTCAAATACTAGTAACTTGCGAGTATCTTCTACTCTTAAAGGCCATGTTTCACAGCCGTATGGTAGAACGGAACGAACTGCCGCGCAGTATACTCGTCCCTTAATTCATAGACGGATATCTCGCCTTCGCCATAGGTGACGTAAGTTGGCGAAGGCCAAACGAGCTTTTCGAATCCGTGCTGAGATTTCGTCAGACACCAACCCATTAGGGCTGATCAGACTTCCAAGATAAGTGAAGTTGTCAACGCGTTCGACTATTTCACTCCCTATCCTTACTTCAGGTGTTGATGCAGACCAGTCCTGAAGCAACAACTTGCATTTAGAGGGAGAGAAGCGCATTCCAAACATTCTGGCATTGTTGCTCAGTGCTACCAAAAGAATCTGCATTTCATCAGCGTCTTCACCAAACAGGACTATGTCATCTGCGTATTCTAAGTCAATAAGTGGACCTCCTGGTAGGAGATCAATACCTGAGAAGTCAGTCGATGAGAGCGTTATTTCCATCAGGATGTCTATGATAAAGTTAAACAAAAAAGGAGAAAAAACGGACAGCCTTGACGGACGCCACTTGAGGTTGTTACTACCTTGAAGTTATGTTTACTTGATGGTGGCATGTCATTAACTGCTAAAAAATTGTAATGTCTGTGCATGATTTATAGCGAAGAATTGGACAACTGGTCCGTCTGAGGTCTGAAACCAACAAAAATTTGTTCTAAAGATGCATTCTGATATTATTCCTAATTTAACTAATAATAATAATGATTACATTATTTTTGAAACAAATTAGTGAGGGTTACGTCAAACCTGAGGTGTTTTTTGCACGAAAACTGTAAATAGATATTACACTCATAAATGGATTAACGCTTAATTGCTTGTTCCTTACATTTTATAAACAACTACAAACATCCATGTTCATCATCACCACAATAAACGAGGTGAACCATATGTAATGTTTTAGAGCTTATTTCCTTGAAAACTTAATCTGTGACCTATTTTATAACTTGAAAAATGGTGAATCTTACTTGCTTGAGTTTGTATTGTTGCAAATAACCTAATTAGGCTTACTAAACAGTCACTTAGCTGGTAAGCAAATAATACGTCAAACTGCAAATAAATTGGAATAAAAATTATGTTGCAACCATAAACAATACAAAAAGGTACGTGAGATGGAGAAAAGCCGGTTAATAATTGATAAATAACGACACAAAAAATCCACGAGAATATGTTACACGTGCGCGAAAACCCATAACCTTACGGTCGTACCGTGCCAAAATCACCTAAAGACAAGAATTAAATCAGCACAATAATGTTGATAAGCAAAAGCTATAAGTTAAAACAAGACCCTCAACAAATTCAAACTATGAAATTCAATTGATAGATTGATTAATTATTCGTTATTTAGAATCTGCGACCAAGTATTTAAAAGTAGTTACTGATAATAGGAAGTTTTGGTTTTGGTTATGTTCTTTCTTGATATTGAATGATAAAACAAGTCAGTTATTACTGATGTAAGTGGCTTTGGATTAACAGTTAGAGTAATTACCCTCATTAACCAAGGAAATCGGGGACACTGAATAAAGTAAAGTTATCATCGCTTCCTATAAGGGGTTCCATGTTCGAGTGGTTCTGACCACGAAAAATGTTAGCACTTATTTTTTCGCGGACTAGTTCATTTTCTGTCTTAAATGAATATCCCAGCACGTGTAATTAGTCACTAAAATGAACAAACTGTTTGTCAGTTTTAAAAGGATTGTAAATTGCGTGGCATATTATGTTTATTTCTCGCCTGGTCCCTCTTTACTACACATGTTGCAGTTTCAGAGATTCTTTGAGGGTTGAATGGAGTTTACCTCCCACTCCGAGTACCTTTTCGGTTGCTCTTCTTGTACACGTTTCAAGTCATTATTGTCCTTTCAAAGCGAAAGTGCATAACTCAGAAGATTTTTCGAACGGATATTTGGTTTACTATAATAAATAATGATATGAAGATAGTTAGGACAGACATATTTTGTAACTAGTTTTTGCTACTATTTACATTTCTTTCATTAATTCCCTTAATTAGCATATTTACTATGGTTGACTGTTAAAGAGTTGTTTAAAAACACATGACCCTGGATTTTCCGTTCCTAGCATTATACATTCATTATCGCTTACAAATACCCTGATGCACATGTATGCCTCTTGTTCTGAATCACCTGATGTTATGATAACAGAACACTAGTGTATTCACTATCTAGATGGTAGCGACTTTGTACGTGGTTTAGGTAATTTTTGTCCCCTTTATTCGCAGAAAGCCTTATGTTTATCTCACAATATTGCTTTCGCACGATTTACGATTGTTAATATTAACACCTATTTACACCTATTAAAATGACAGAACTAATGTGACTACCTAAACTATAGGATTTTACGTCGAAGTCAAAACATCATCCACAATAATCGCCTTTATTGTAGCAATCTTGGACAACATTTCGTAATAACATATGAAGAACAAACCACAATTTGTTTACGGAATGATATATCTAGTATAGAGATGAAAGAGTCACTGCTACTAGACACGGAAGCCTGTTAAGCGAAAGCTTCTTCTATTCCGTCCGCAACCATTTGAACTACCATGCTTGGATATCCGAGCTATTTCGTCTCGATAAACCTCTTTCGTTCGTCTTTCGATCATCACTATTTATCATCAACTATTCATCCATCATTGTTTTGCTGCGTTGTTGAATGACAGCTCAGGTTTCAAGATGATTTGTGACGATGACCTCTAGTTTTTATGGTAGTACACTTCCAGTAGTCACGGAAAAATTACGACTGGTTTTTATAGCTTATATATTCTATCTGTCTCTTAAGATAGGAAATTACACAAATTATTCCACTTTCAAAAAATTTGATATGGATAAGTATCATACGGTTTACCACATTTCCGTAGATAGATAAAGCCACTGAGATGCCAATCAACAGGCGTCTGCACAAGCACTAATTGATAAAATCATCATGACATGGTTTCACTTCTAAAACATCATATGCAAATGGTCACGAAGAATACTGTGAGTACACAAGGAGCATCAGGAACAAAATAACTAGTTCTCATCTCATATTTGCATTGCATTAAAGCGTCTGTTAAGGCCCTGTACCATCTCCATTATACAAACTGAACGTATTCCGGATGACCGATAAAATGCACAACTACGTGGAACTATTCAGCAAAATCGAACCTAAGTAATAAAAATAGTACAAAGCTCTTACTACCTTCAGAATGTCACTCGTGGTCTTATCCAGATCCTAATCGTCAGAAACTCAAAACTCATAATGTGAGCCTACAAGATATGCCAGTTCTTTACACTTGATGGAAAATTTTTATTCATCGACGACCTTAAAGTTGTATTTGTTCTACAATCAAGTCAAAGCATAAATACCAGCCAAAAAGTGAAGGAAAACAATGGCAAACTTAACAGCTCATGTAATAAATCGCTTCTCCTTCCCGGAACATAAAAATCTAGGTACATTTATTTTAGTGAACTTAATTCACAGATAAGCCTGCATCTGAGCAAATGAAAATTTAAAAAACCAAAAAGCATTTACCACTTACGGACGAGGAAGTTAAAAAGGCTTTCCTTTACCAGACAACATCTTAAGTCTATAATCCCCGTAAGATTATCGTATTTGTTCATAGTAACTCCCGTTTAGGGGAATCTAAATGGGTTTTCTGGAGTGACTGGAAGTCATTTTACGGGGCCTCTTACTCCTGGCTCTTCTTATGAAGACGAATATGAGGCATCAAAACCATACTCCTTATGGTCCAGACGAACTAAGCTTCACCTTACTTGCTAGCTGTAAACTCAGACTCTTAATGCAAGACCTAACGGTTGGTTTTCGATGCTAATAACGATTAACAAGCATAGTCAATTAAAAATACCCATAAAGTTAGATTTTTGGGCACCAAAACACCTCAAGCCCCTAGATATCGATACAGAGTTTTGACTTGATGATCTCAAATATATTGAGCATTAATTTAACAGTTTAGCAAATTAATGGTGTGCTTGCGGAATTTAAACTTTTGATCATTGAGATATTACAAGTATGTCACTTGTTTATTACTTTAGGCCGCTCTTTCCCGACATTAAAAGACAT